ATTTGCAAAGCTAAATTCATTTCTTAAAGGTCCCCTGTTACACTGTTTTTCATCAATATATTATAAGTCTCAGATATATACAAAATGTGTCTCTGAAATGTTTGGCTCCAAATACCAAACAGCATCCCATAATCCCCTCTGTTTCAGCCCTGTTTCAAAAGTGCTGTTTCTGTGTCTGTTACTTTAGATGAAAATAAGGAGCCACTCCCCACGCCCCTCTGAGAGATATTTGGTTAAAAAGAACACAATGGTGCTCTAGTATCCCTTTCACACCAACGCAACTCCAGTTCAAGCTCCGTGCTAGAGCTTTTCAGGTTCAGAACCGGTACTTCGGTTTAGCTCCGGCTCTTTTCACACCGCTCAGAGCCCGACTGGTGCTGCCGCTGCTGCGTCATGACGTCACAGTTTACGTCGCTGATTTTCTCCCCAACGGAGCTCACCTCACAACAACAACGGGCCGGGGACTGCGTCAGGTCGATGATCGTGTTGCTTTTAATCATACGAAGCCAGATTAAATTAAATAACGACTTCTCCAACCTTATACTTTTCTCCAGAGTGCCGTGGTTCATTGTTTATTAATGTGTTTCAGCTCACACGGCTCTAAAGTATTCACTGTCTGACTGTCACACAAGCAGCTGATACATATCCCCAGTTCCCCTTAAGTGAATGTGTGTCAGTCTGAATTGACGCTGTTTGGCATCACAACGCTGTTATGAAAGTTGCTCTGGTATAACATGGGTGATGTTAGCATAGCAACCGAAGCTAAACTGACTACTTGCTAAGCCAATTTCTACAGGCACATTTTACCGGCGTATTTTTCATTATGATTCTACTTGTGATAGTCGGACATGACAACCTGTGCAGCCCATGTATTGATTCCATCCGATAGCTGCTATAATAACAAACAAAACGTCTGCCTGCTCTCCACAATGATCAATAACAGCGAACGGATGGTCAAAGTAAGGTACAAATAAACAGAATCACACGAAGCCTGGTTAGTGTTGCCTGACTTTATAAAGCGTGTTTTTTTTTACAAGTGTGTGGTTGCGTTCTAGTCACTTTGCTCAGCACTACTGCTTGTTACAACTTTTATTTGCCGTACTCGCCTTAACTGTTAGCTCAGGTTAATCTCGCCCCCCTCCGACGTAAGCGTGACGTATGCGGTTCTTGCTTCTAGACGGACAACTTTTTGGTGCTCGAAACGAACCGGATTCCGGAGCTTAGAGGCTGCTCCGCTGCGGTGTGAACAGGAAAACCCGGTGCTTTTCAAGCTCCGAACCGGCCCTGAAACACCGTTGGTGTGAATGGGGTATATGAGGAGATTCAGGTGATAAGGTGGGCGGGGGTGTTACCTTGGTTGGTGATTGGCTAATGGTTACACAAGCAAACAGACAGGTTTTTATATAAATGGATCAGGACAAAAAGTGAGTGAATCTTATTTCCTGAAACTTTCAGAATCTCTTTACACAGAGGGGACACATGTTTATGAATAAAAGACATGAAAAAGTGGATTCTGCATAATAGGTGACCTTTAAGAGAATAACACCCGGAGAAACTCAGAAATAAATGCTTCAGTTCAGACGATTGGATCAACTAGAAAAAAAGTCCAAAAGCTTTTACAATCATTTTCCCAACTGCTGTTGACTCCTTGAGCAAGGCACTCAACCCCCACCTGCTCTGTTTTTGAGTTCAGTGGTCAACAACATCTGACACTGGATCTACATAAAGCTCTCAGGTAATGACGCAGTTGTAAAATCGTGCAAATGTGGATAAATATTGTAGGTAACCATTCAAAACTAAATGGATAATTTGGTGTACAATTGACCAAAGCCAAACAATAGCGGTTCTTATTAGAGGAAATGGAACAGGGTTGTCTCTTGTGAAATGTTTGATCAGCAGCTGAACTTACTGATGAGGCAGATGTCTGTGAGATCTGTTGGCAAATAATGTAATAATGTTTCTTTTCAACATAAATGATTTAAAAGATCTGTAGAGTTAAATGTATTCAATGTTATTAAGTAACAGCAACAGAGTATAGTATACAAGCAACATAGTTTAATGTAGGAATCAGATTTACTCTTCTATTTAAAAAACATGCAACCCCATGACAAACAGTGTGGCAGGTCTGAAAAACCATTACACTTCAGTAAGCAATTCAACATGTGGCATATTGACAATGTTGACGTTGTTTTCCAGTAGAAAGATGAATGGAGTCTCGTAGGTCATTATAATTAGTCTTAAGTCACATGTGTCTGTGGCCAAATTAGCTGAAAAACACAGAACCCTTTAAAACAAACGTGTAAACAACACTGTTAAAACTGCAGGCTGGAACTTTGCTGACCTGGTTGAAATAATATAGCTAGAAAATAGATTACATAATAAAACATTCACAGCGCACTCAGAGGCTACTTTATGGTAACATGGAGACGATAGAAAAAGAAAACCAGAGGAATACTTTGAATCAGCATGATAACCTGTTAAATCTCTAAGGCATTAGGCAAATAAAACCCAACATTAAAAAGATGTACAGTAAGAGCTGCCAGCACCTGAAATGAGTAAGAGGTCTCAGTTTCACTGTGGCAGGCCTGATGTTCTGATACTTAGTGCCTTCACATCTGGGATAAAACACCGGCCAGCTGTGGCTCTGGCAGAGGGCCATCAGAGGTCACCACGGAGCCTGGAGTGACTCCAGCTGTTTGCACGTCGTCCAGATGACACATAAACTCTATAAACAGCTTGAGACGGCGAAGGTTTGTGGCAGAAGCCAATAAAGCGTTAAGAGGGATCAGCTCATTGTCTCTGTCCACATCATGGGCAGGGCTAGAGCCGCGCTGTAAAAGTGAAGTGTTCAGGCTGAATAAGAGGAGCTGGACCAATGTGTACAGTACCCTGGGGTGTACTTCTTCCTATTTATGGAGAGACAGAAGCTCAACTGGTTTAAAATAAAAAATAACAAAGTCTACCCAATATTCAATAAACTGTATTGCATGAACACCACATGTTGTAGCCTGAATCACAAGGAAAGCCTTAACAGTTTATTTAATTAAATACTATAGTTTTATGGTATACTATAGTTTGACTTGTGTTGTTTTAAAGGTCCCCTATTATACTGTTTTTCATCAATATATTATAGGTCTCAGATATATACAAAACATCTCTTTGAAGTGTTTGGCTCTAAACACCAAACAGATCATTGTAGCATCCCATAATCCCCTCTGTTTCAGCCCTGTTTCAAAAGTGCTGATTCTCTGTCTGTTACTTCAGATGAAAATAAGGAGCCACTCCCCACGTCCCTCTGAGAGATATTTGGTTAAAAAGAACACAATGGTGCTCTAGGAGGAGATTCAGGTGATAAGGGGGGGGGGGGTCATTTTCAGACAGGTTTTTATATAAATGGATCAGGACAAAAAGAGAGCGAATGTTTTTTCCTGAAACTTTCAGAATCTCTTTACACAGAGGGGACACATGTTGATGTATAAATGACATGAAAAAGAGGATTTTGCATAATAGGTGACCTTTAAATTATATTTTCTTTGGGAAACCTGTATGTTATACTCCTGTCATTTATAAATGAGACAATGGTCATCAGCATCATCTGGGACAGTGATGAGTGTGCATACGGATGGAGTTTGAACAGCTTGTCTTCTGGTGTGATACCTGTGGAGGAGAACAGCTGACTTGACGAGGAGCCCCCCCCCCCCACACTGAACAGCTGTGGAAGCCTTTTCACCTACCTTGTATATAAATGAACCTGTCACATTAATTGTTTCTTTAATATAGATTGGCAAACAACCTAAATAAAGTGTATTGCGATTACATCTTGAGTTTTATGTCAAATGATCATCAACATTTTTAAAGTATATGATAATTATGTAACAAAAAAAAAATAAATCATAACATAGATACCATTTCAAATGTCATTTCAAATGTCATACCATATTATGTCTTAACAAAATGCAATTCAAAAGGTATCTACAAATGTCATGTCATATTTTAAAATAGTAGTTTGCCTTACATATAGTTTGATCAGTTCTTCAGGGACTGGTCTGCTTTCTGTCCCCAGAGTCAGAACTAAACATGGTAAAGCAGCGTTCAGTTATTATGCTCCAAATATCTGGAACAAACTCCCAGAAACCTGCAGGTCCGCTACAACTCTTACTACTTTTAAATCCAGGCTGAAGACTTTTCTTTTTGCCGCTGCTTTTAATTGAAACTGAGCGGTTGTGTAACCTTAAAGAAAGGCATCAGTAAAATGGAACTTCTGTGTGAACTATTCATATCTTAAACTGCACTGTAACTTTTTATTCATGTACTTTTTATTAATGTATTTTTTCTTTTAATGTTTCTTTTATTATCTTTTCTTTTTAATGCCTTTGTCTGAATGTCTTTCATTTTTGTAAAACACCTTGAATTGCCTTGTGTTGAAAGGTGCTATATAAATAAACTTGCCTTGCCTTACATTTTTACTAGTAAGTCAAAGTAAAATATGACAAAGAAAAGTAATAAAATGTCGTAGTATATCAGTAGTCTCTACAATTTCCTTGAAAAAGTCATATGATCACAGTATCTCACACAAATGTCACAAAAATATAATAGTATAGTGTCAAAATATCATCATACTACTATAGTATGCCATAAAAAGTCATAGTATACTATGTTATAAAAATGTAATAAAAGGTAATAGTTCATAATAGTATAGCATGTCTTTTAGAAGTCATAGAAAAGCATTCCCTTAAAATGTTACCTCATTTATTTCTGCCCAAAACTGTAAATGACATTAATGACAAATATCCCCTGACTGATTTTTGTAATCCTTTGATTTAATCAATTGTGATAAATAACATCCATTTTAAGATAAATATATAGAGCATATATAGAAAAGGATGGATGGTCTTGATATAGTTGTGAGACCATCCGCAAAAAAGTAAAATACCATTGACATCAGAGTTTGAAAATGAAATGCAGACAGCCGAAACAGAGGGCAAATGAGACAAGATGCATAAAATAGTAAATTGTTTTATTCTTTTTTTAACCATGCCACCGAACACTGACGCATACAGAGTTGTGCCTGAATCCACACTGAGAAAACACTTTCACACACTGTGTTACAAAGCTGTAATGAAGAGGGATTTTACTGCACACATGGCAAGAAGAACAACCCTGATTGGATACCAGGTCGAGCTTTGATCTGGCCCTGAGGTAGACAGACATTGACATAATCTAAACAATGCTAATCACATCCTTCTAGGACACATCAAATAAAAGGACATCTGCATTATCACAACATAGAAAGATCAGAGAAATAACCCTTTTCAAACAAAAGTGCTCTGTTTCTTTTGGTCCACCAAGGAAATCCATTTATAGTGCATGTTCATGTAGAATAGATACAGTGAATGTGTGTTTTCATGGCACTGAGTGTTGTTGGCTACTTAAGAAGGCATTGGTAATGCCCACAGACGCCAAGACTTGATATACACACTGTTTTCATCCGAAGATCTCGGTCTATTGTCGCTTTGAAGGGAACAAATTTGATGCAGTTCCAAGCAATTGTGATTTCAAAAGTACACGCTTGACTCATCAGCCACTATCACAGTATGTTGTATCCAGTTGCAATTTTCAGACAAAGTGGATCTACATGGCAGTCTATCTTTATTTAAGTAACAATAAACAAACACCCAGAAACAACTACCAATAGCACAGACCCATGTACTCAAGCACATCAATGCTCTACTTATAAAAGAGGCACAAGGGAGGGATCTTAATCAAATCAGAGACTTATAAAACACACACATTAAGATGTTTCTCAAATCATACCAAATGTAAACAGATAGCAAATTACTGTAATACAAAAATACAACATGTTTAAATCTATAAGGCCTGTTTTAGGCTCACATTAGGGAATAACATACAATGACAGTTTGTACATTACAGCTACACTATACTGACAATAACCTGCTCATAGTGATTCAATGTCACAATTTTCTATTCATGTTTTGTATAAAAACAACAATTTATTTTCATGTTTTCTTAAATTTTCTCCTAGAAAATTCTGATTCTGTGATTTTGTAAGACATGTATATATAGTTAATGATAAAAAACTACACATTAAAGCCATGTTGAGGCTGTTTTTTTACCCACCGCTTGTCCATTTAAATTATGTATTTGTTAGAAAATGAAAAACTACTGATGACTGAACACTTTGCAGTAGGTTTGAAAGTGAGGAGAGGTAGAGCTCGCTCTACTAGAAATCATCCCAAGAGACACCGTGATGAAAACCAGCACATATTTGGTAACAAATAAACAACATATAAATAGCAAAACCTATTACATTGCAAGAAAAACTCAAATTGTAAGCCAGCTACCTCGAAACAATATCATCCACGGCAAGAAAGACAAGGCAATTAAAGAGATCAAGCTTATGAGGTCAAAACGTGGCGGCCATTCAAGTAACACATGCAGAACATAAACAAATCCAAAACAAAATCCAGCATAAAATTAAATTGAGAAGTCACAGGAATTTAGGAGAGAACATGTTGCAAAGTTCAGCCAATCAAGCCTTCGTGGAATTATATATTCAATACTACTGCACAATCATAGAAGATAACTCGGGTTCAGCAATCGATAAATCATAAAATCTCCTGCTCCACAGACAGGTCAGCAGTGGCAGCCATTGTGACTTTGATTTAACAACAGTGGAGAGACAGTTATTATCAAAACTGTGTGTGTGAGGGAGAGTGTGTGCACTAGGGCTGAAACAATAAGTTGTCAGTAAACTCATTCTCAACACTTCTGAGTCTTTTTGTGGGTTGAAAATAATACATCACCACGGCTTCCTGTTTCTCAAAATGTGGCCATTTGCGGCTTGTCTTTCAAATCAGTGGGAACAAAAGTGGTTATTTGAAGATGTCACCAAAATGTGACTACATTTTTCAGACTAAACAATTTATCACTTAGAATAAAAAATAATCTAATTCATAATAAAACTAATCATTACTTGCAGCCCTAGTGTGTACACAGATTAATTTTCGTGCTTGCATGTCTCTGTTGTCAGGTAAAAACCTTGTATCTCCCACAACGACAACTTCACACTTAATTCAGAAAGAGTCTAAATATTATTTCTTTAAACCCACAGAGAGACATTTCATTTTCCAGCATGAAAAACAGCAACACTGGAGTTACAAGGTTTTCACCCAACAGTGACAGAGTGTGTGTGCGTGGGGTCCAAGTCCTGCTCAGACGTAACAGACGTACAGGTAAGTCTTTTCTATCCTCCAGTCCGCCGGCACGTCCTCCGGCTTGTGGCCCTTTATGTGCTTCTGCATGGAGGCCAGGCTGGGGCAGAAGTCCTGGCAGACGGTGCACTGGTACGGGGACGCTCCGTTGTGAGTGCGCAGGTGCTTGATCATGGCCGAGTAGTCTCTGGACCGTTGGTGACACAGCTTACACTCAAATGGCTTCTCCCCTGAAAAATTCAACAATACAGCATTAACCTTGTAGACCCGGGGCCAGAGGGCCGGCCACGTGAAACGGGACTCACCTCTATTTCAGTCCACTGTACTCCAGGTGGTGTTGTGTTTGTGTTTGTGAGTGTTTTCGCGTCAGGATTAGACCTATATCAGTTTGCCAGTTAGATATTGGCCAGTCAGCGTCATCTACAAATACGACAGAGGGTTCTCTCTGACCTCAGCAAGGCGTCAGATAGCAGTCGGTACAATGTAACCTGACATTACATTTAGATCTGTTGCACATTGATAGGGTTTTGTGTCTTATTCGCGAAAAGAAGCTTTAAAAGCTGAAAAAACATCAATATTTAGTGGTTAGATTGACTGTTAACAGCATTTCAAATGCCATTTTTTTACGATAAAAATAAGTAATTTTTGTCATTTAAGTTTTAAATAAAGTTTTTGAAGGCAGGCATTATTCTATAGTTGTCTTTTGTCAACATTTCCATAAAAAAAACAAAAGCATGAGTGCATTAGTCAGACCTTTAATATTTCCTGACTACCCTAGCCTGTCTGTGGCATCTAATTTGTTCTGAGGGAAGACGTAAATCTTTAAAATAGGTCACAAAAAGAAATGGCTGCAATAAAGAAATAAAGCTAATTTTCTTAAGCAGTTGGGCACCGTAGTTTGTAGCAAATGTTAATCAAAGAGAAGAGTAAAGTACAGTAGCACATTATTATATATGTGTCTTGGCAGACTAAGCTATTCAGAAATGACTTGTCATTAAGATAAAAAATCACATATATCACCAGCCTTTTAAATATAGATATTGCATAGAGGACCACCCCTATTAGCAGCGCTGAAATGCCTCCCTGTATGTGTGAGTGTGTTCTCGCCTCTGTTCTCTTACCTGTGTGGACACGGTAGTGGGTTTCGAGCTGGTGTTTGAGGCTGAACCTCTTCCCACAGCCGTTGCACTCGTAAGGCTTCTCTCCTGTGTGGATGCGTTTGTGGCCCCTCAGCGTGCCGTCGTCTCTGAAGCAGCTCCCGCAGAATTCACACTCAAACGGGTGATCGCCTGAAAACACAGTCATGTCAAAACAGCAGCCGCAACACCAACACAGCTCATTATCACGAGAGGCAATAAAGGCTAACTTCGTCTTTGGCACGACATGGAATGGGCTCATATGTAACTACGTAGGTCAAATAGCTCTTTTCTGCACATGCATATCAAGCGGGGGAATAATGTGCTTTCAGACGTCGCTAATGTTATGACATGAGGACACTCCTCTTGGCTGTCTGGTAATAGCTAATAAAAGCCCTCAAGGCATGTACTGCTCTGTGCTCTATACTGTAGTTAATCTATTTCTCTCCTAGGCTGAGGGTTTGACTCATCTCCAATGACCTATGTGCCTCATTATCTCAGTGTCCACAGCAACAGCCAAGTCAGAGGATACATTGCTCTCCTCATTACAGGCCCATTCTCCCCAATCCCCCACCCCACTGTGGAGCAGATGACATTTACAAAATGTTACTTCCAAGCAGAATGGCATACAAACAAGATACGCCGCCATGGCCAAAACTCCCTTCACTTCTGTCTCTTCACATCAATTATGTATTTCTCCTGTCTAGACATCAAGCCATCCTGACAGCTAGGAGTGTTATTTAAGGTAAAAGAAGAAAGGGGGACGTCTTTTCAGTAAATATCTCTCCGTCTCCTGCGGCACTAAGACTCACCCTTGGTAGAACACACAGACAAGTCATTTCCATTTGCTTTTCCTTCAATATTTATTTGGGTTTCCTCTATCATTTTGGGTGAACCACACTAGAACTGACAGCCGTGAATTGCAGAAGCCCAAAGGCTGTCTAAGAACCCAAAATATAAACAGGATGAAATTGCCCAAAATATGCACCGGCCATAACGGTACAGTGCTGTCATCAGAGAGGTGAGTCATCGTATAGAGAAGTGAATAAGAGGGTGGGAGAGGATGCATGCAAATTGACTTAAAACCTTAAAGCCAGTAACCTAAGGAAATGAACAGAAATAAAAACAGCCGTCTCCTTTCCAACATATGCATGCTTTTGACACTGCATGCTTATGTTTTATGACAGGAGATAGTGCTATAGACGTGCGAATGATCCGTGTCTTACCCGTGTGTGAGCGCAAGTGTCTTTTGAGGGTCGTGTGGCTGGGGAAGGGGCGCTCACAGTGGCTACAGATGTAGCTGTGCATGCCTGTATGGACCTCCATGTGCTGCTGCAGGGCCTTCTGGGTCTGGAAGCGCTTTGCACAAAGCAGACAGAACAGCGCCATGTCAGTCCCTGGAGAACACACAAGACACAGACGCACAGTTATTTCAGTACCATACACAGACAGGGCCTTAAGTGGGGAAACTGGGTCACTTCAACTTTGTGTGAGTCCTCAGAGGGAAAAGCTTCTTTCAAAGAGCAAGTGCCTCTACCTAAACTAACTCCCCTAAAAGCCCAGAGGCACTTTCAACTGCGAGTCTTTATGCGTTCTATTTTAAACCATGAAAGTCATTGTTTTCTTTAAGAATTTCCCACACAATGCACAGCATGCCAATCACACAATCAATGGATCCTTCCTGGTGTGTTAGATGTGTAATTATTCTCTTCATTCCCCATCAGGAGTCAGCTCCAGCCTGTGAAGTCCTCTGTCTCTGTGCTCAAAGAGCGGCTGATAGTAGCTCCACCCTAAATGATGCCTACACTATGCGCTCTGTGCAGAATGTTAAGTAGTGATATCAAGCCATTAAAGGCAGGACTGCAGGAAAAAACACAATCCAGTTTAATCCTGTGTGTGACCTGGCATCTCTTCGGGGCTGCTTTCCTGTTGCACGGAGTGTGGAGAGGAATACAGATAGGGAGTCGCTGGCAAGGTAGCTCTAGTCAAAATGGCAACGTGAAGAAGATCCATTGGCTGTCATACAGTCAACACTTGATCTACAGGCTGTGTATGCCAGCACTCAAATTCAATCTGGCATTCACACCGAGGCAAATTCATATATGCCGTAAGACTGAGGGACTGGTTAATCAGCTGCATTGGACATAATGTGCATGTCCTGCAGAACGAGGCTTTAATGTGAGATTATGAGCTCCTTATTTCTCTGTCTGCTCAGGTTGCAGATCATTTACAATGCTAGCAGGTCCCATTGCTCCTGACTCAGATTCAATCAGACATCTCCAGCGGAGGATCATTAGTAAACAGAGGACTGTGCCAGCACTTCATTGGAATTCAAGTGGGGTTGCTGTGTCGCATTTAAAATGCAGTCTGATGAGGTCCACTAAATCAAATCATTTGTTACTGTTATTGAAGTGCCTTGAGGCAACTGGCAATTAAATTGGAATTAACGCAGGGAAAGGGATACAGCACACTCATACTAAGAGGGAAGAGTGTCAGACTCTTGCTTTAGGTTCAATCAAGTTAACAGACAGACAAGCCTGTTCAAACTAGAAAGAAAAGGAAACAAATCAAGCAAATTCACGTTTCATGGGATAAATCTGAAACATTCACTGTGTATTGTTTACTAATCCACATGTCACAATTTCTCAAACAAAGCAAGACGCTTTTTACACTTCACAATTCACTGATATGTATAATTTGGCAAAGAAGCAAAAAACCTAATATTAGAATTATGGGGCTTCTTCTTTTTAAACCTAGCTTTGAAATGCTCACTAATAGAACTGATCATCTGTAATCATTAACAGAAAGAAGACAGGATGAAAGACATTCCCTGATCCTAACAATCCTGCATGGGGGCGATCCGCTGGACCCAACTGCACCTGTTCAGAGGCTCTAGCCTCTGGACTCCTGCACAAAGGGAACACAATGAGGTCCAGGCCCTCATTGACCAAGCCCATTAGTCATAGGCTCCTCACGCAACTCCTACAATCCCTGTCTTTATGCTGTCGCCTAATGACCACGGTCCTTTCTCACCCACGGATCACAATATTTTAGTTCTAAACAAAAGACCCTCCATTCTGAACGCCTCTGCACCCTGCCCACTCCCCGTATCCGCTGACCAACCCTTTCACTGTCTAACCAGCTTCACTTTCCGCCTGAGTCATACCTAACTAATGCCGATTCACTGTGCACTGTGCAACAGTGGAGTCGGGATAATGATCCATCTAAAAATGGCTTAAGGCATTTAAAAAAAACAAAAAGCAATCTGCATAACCTGTGATGTGGAAGCCTTGATCCACTTTTAGTAGTTTCTCTTGTAATGTTTTCTGCAGACAGCAGGGGGCGTGCTTTCTTTTCCAATGTGTCCTGGATACTTTAGCTGCAGGCAGAGCACAGCAGAGCCCTCAGCCAGCCGAAAAACACATTAACCACCTTGTAGACACTTCAAAGCTACTTTAATCATCCTCTCTCCGCTCTCTCTTTATTAACTATCATACATTGTAAATGCGTGTTCCAATGCGGCCGGGGTACTTTGTTCTGTCTGCTCTGAAAGTTTAACATCCCAGTTTCTTTGTGCAGGTTAAACCGTTACTCCCTGACACACTGGCAGACTCTCACAGATGTATATCCTGATACTTCTGTCACCAACAATTCTGAAACTTGAGTAAAGAAATATGACAAATATTCTGTCACAAGAATCACACTCTTGATCCCGGGTTGACACGCAGTGACAACACCTCAGCAGTCGCTTTTGGTTTGATTCTGCGCAACCGAACGCCGAAAATAAAAATAACAAATAAAATCTTGAAGTGTAAACAAAAACCTTTCGGAGGCAAGGAAGTGTTTGTGTGCGTTAGTGGTGGCATTTCGCCTCGCTGTGCTCTGTTCACTTTTCAAAGAAAGAGGATTTGCTGTTGTAGAGTTTTCCAGTGAGCTTTGGTAATAAGTGTAGAGGAGCTTCTTTATGAGAGAATAAGCCCTAAAGTTGGCTGTCATTGCCCCCTGCCTTCTCACCCTTAACCAGACAATGGGTTTGGGATTTGGGTTTTAAGGCACAGGATGACCCCTGACCCTTGGCCCTCAATGGGGTAAATACCATGTAATCAATGGTATTCCTCAAAGGCTGGAGAGATGACTGAGCATTGTGTTTAGTGGAAGGGAGTCTTAACAGTGGGAATGATTTACTTTAAAGGAAATCTGCCAGGGAGGCAGAAAAAATAAACATTTACTGTCTGTATTATATTACTGAGCTGCTTGTCTAATGCACACGGTCTGAGGTTGCTATGCTATTTCCGCATATCTCCACTAAGACCGTGTGTATGCTCATGTGATTTAACATGGTCTGCCTTCATACATCTGCCACTTATTCAGTCCAACCGAGGTGGGAGCCAGCCACGCTCTCACGCTGCCTAAGAAACAAAACCATGTGTCTAGGCAACCAGATAGGATCATGGTCCTTGTTGGGGTGAAGTGTTCAAGCTAATCCCTTCATTCACAAATAAGCGCAGCCTGTTTCTTTTCAAGCTGCAAACAAAAGTCTTCCCACCCTGAGAATCTGGGAGTAAACCCACTGCAAATTGAACAAGAGATTGTATTCAGTGGTGACGGCAAATCTGTATAATTTCTTCTGTGTTAATCTTAACTTTAGTGTCCGGAGCCCACCAATTAAAGTGATTGATTTGTGAATAATTGTCTGAAATAAATAGACACAAAACATTTCATTTGAACTGCAATCATTTAATAGGTTTAATCTATAAAGTTTGTTTCAGTAAATTGTGATTGACAGCCAAGTCAAAGCTACACAAATATTGTGCTGCCCTCAAAAGGTAGAGGAATTTCACACTGATTTCACAATTTACAACATTACATCATGGCTGAGCGTGTCTGCTAGCTGGAGGATGCTATGTGAGGACACTATAAACTCTGTCTTAAGGCTGCTGAGTGTATATACTGTGAGCTCACTGATATCATTCAGTTAAACATACACAGTCATGCAGGCTACATTATGTGCAAGACCTCCCATGACACGCTTCTGTATGTGTTCATGCCGACAGCTCCCTGTAGTTGTGGCGGCCCGAGAAGCACATGCACAAAGGCTACAGTACCTTAAACAAGACCTTAAACAACCCCGGGCGCTCATCAGCAGCCTGCTAATCTACCCGAGTGAGGAACAACCGACTTAATAATTAATGCAACAAGAGATACGTTGCTTGTGTTTAACCACCACTCCATGGATCACTTCGTTGAGGTCACACATGGGTTCACTTGCCTCAATTCCTAGAATATTTGCTCTGTCTACTGTATTTCTACCTGAAATGACAGGGCGACCTGGGGCTGTTTGTATCATGACAGTGAGAGCAAATAAATACTGTGATCTCAATGGCCAACCAGAGCGCAGTTCAATTCAGTTTAGGGCTACATTACAGCTGGGTATTAACAGGAGGCTGCAGTATGATGACGGACACATGATTAGGCGAGCTTAAAGGTCTGCATAATAAAGCCCGGGCTGTATCTGAATCAACTAACAGACGGTTTAATTAGAACTCAGACAGAAGGTAATATTATTCCCTTGATGAAGCAGGCTGTAAAGTGTGGAAACAGTGCAGCTGCTGCGAGTACACAAAGGCAGCACTCTTATGGCCTTTGCCTTGAAGGCAAGGTGGCAAAATGGTCAGCCAGCATGGCTTGAAGTGCTTACAGTCACTTTCTGAGCCTGCTGTAGATAACATACAGTCTTGGGTTTTCCAAAATGTAGAGCTTGGTGCCCCACAGCCCTCGATTTGCTCTGATGAAACAAACCCCCTTGTTGTTAGAGCAATTCGGAGACAGATCCATTCTTTTATTTTGGGCACTGACAAGTAGGTCAGAGGAGACTGTGACAGTGCTGTGGTGAGGAGTAAACAGCAGCACATGATGTTGTTTTCCTCTCAGTCCTGGCATCCAACACCAGCAGCAATCCTCTTGCCCTCAGGAAGTCCTCAAATACCCCCTACCCCCTTCCCTTCCCACAGTCCACCCTGCCCCCAAATCCCCCCCCCCCCTCTTTGATCTCCAACAACCCACGGCCATTCACCTCTGACATATCAAAATAGCTTTAACAGACTTTCACTGTAGCCACCAGTGTTGCCAAATTCAGCCAATTTGGGGTAAGATCTCCCAAAGTAGTACTATGTGCCTTTTAGAGGAGGTGGGCCGCCGTGCTGCAGCTGTTGAGGTCTGACAAGTGTTAATCTGCGAAGAGGAAACTCATTTGGCTCACTGGTTATGCCACATGGCAAATTAAAACCCAGGAAGCGGTAAAGATCCTGTGTTTTTAGGAGGAATAGAATCCAGGTTATATTTATTAAATGTAAATGATAATGGATTGGAGCATATCCTTGGCACAGCTGATTAAATTACCTGTAGCTACAATAGGAGTCAGTAAAAAGGGTCATGCGTCACAGCTGAGATCACAACAAAATGAGAGAGTAATGCCCTCCTGTACCCTGTTCTGGATACACTGCCAAGTTGAAACCGAGCTCTGGATGTTTACAAGTTGGGGAGATGTGGGTAGAAACTTCTGGGCACCGTTAACACCCCTCCATGTCCACATCCATTAAGTATTCATACTGTGTGTGCCACCTGGAGTTACAGTTACATGCCAATGCTCCGGAGAGGGTTATCACCTTTCTCTGACAGTAGCAGTAAAGGTGTGGGTTCAGACACTGCCAGGCATATGTATCGTCTGACAACAATACAGCTTTTTTTCACAGTTTGATACTTTCCAGTCAAACAAGTGCTGTTATGTCTTTCTCGGGAAAATATTCAACACACATTCACTACAAAGCATTCTCATTAAGGCTTTAGAGGTTTTCAATAATGATCTTATCCAAGGCAGGTACCAAGGCTTTAGAAATGACCGGGTGGAGCCCTCATATTGGACTGATTTTTATTATTGTTGAATTGAAAAACTGGGTCATGCTTATTTGTCTTCCGAAAAAAAGAGCTACACCTAACCATTCTTTTTTATTATGAATTTATCTGCCTCTTTTTTATTTTGAATAATCTTGTAAAATCTTGGACAACAGAAAAAAAATGTCTATCATAATTTCCCGGTGCCCGAGGGGATGTCTTCAAATAGCCTGTTTCTTCCAACCGACAGACGGAAAACTCAATAACATTTATGTTATTATCAAAGATGATTAAGAAAGCCAGAAAGTATGGAGATTACAGAGGCTGGTGGCCGTCAATATTTGTATTTTTTTCTTAAAAATGACCGACAGCTAAAAATACAAATGTCAAAGTGTCGTTATTATATTCTTTATGCATCATCACTGATACACTAAAGTACATGGTTTTGTGTTAGCTTTTACGATTGTGTGTTTGTTTTACGTATCGCCTGGCTACAGCAGATAATAAAGTTGGGTATTAATTACTTATTAACCATCACTATGGTTGTTAAACTGTATAAACCCTTTATAAATCGAATTCAATCATTAATTGGCAGCCCAAGTCATAATTACACCAAAAACAATACTTAATGGCTGGTTACAAAACTATATTCTTAAAGCCAATCTGTTTTATTGACTTCTAAGCTTTTATTAAATAGATTATAAACTTTCATTTTGGTTGATTGATATATTGTCTAATCTCCTTGTTTCCCTTGACCTCTGCCTATAAAGCACTTAACTGCTTGTTACTAATATAACAAAGTCTTCATTCTTATGTGGGTTTTAAGAATTAAAAGAAGAAAACGTCTTCAGCTGCTCAGGCAGGTTGTTCCAAAAACACAACTTTTAAGATGAGAAACTACGATCATCCTGACGCCCACTCAACATGACAGACATTCAATACACAAGAAAAAAAAGTCACAAGAGAAGGTTTCACAAACATTTTAGTTATCGGAGATGATTGAAAACCAGAAGTTGTTAATCTCATTGCGTGAGTTAGTGTGAGTGTAAGGTGAATAATTCCACAGGCAGGATGTGTGGATAGTGTGTCTGTGAAACTGTAACGCTGGCGCTGTAAAGCTACCACTGTGGCAAAGTGGCAAGCAGTGGGTTTGGATGCCAAGAGATATTAGTGGGTGATATGTGAGAGGGCCTCCCACCGCCATGTTGATAAATTATGGAGCATCATGACAGGAACAGTTTAACCCAGAGCCAGCATGACAAGCAAGTTTAGACCCATCACAAGTCCCACAGTCACGGCTTACTTGACAGTTCAATGCATGCTGTCCAGGGTAGACATAATATGTGAGTGTGAGTGTGAGTGTGTGTGTGTGTGTGTGTGTGTGTGTGTGTGTGTGTGTGTGTGTGTGTGTGTGTGTGTGTGTGTGTGTGTGTGGAGTGTAAGTACCTGTGTGTGTTTGCCTGTGGGCTTCCAGAGCATCCTCTGAGGAGAACGTGGCTCCACACTGATCACACACCAGCGCCTCTGCAGGAGCTGTAGATAAAATCAAATGTAAAATAAGGTACATCAGACAGTTAACATTTACATGTGTCTTTTTAATTGTAGAGTAAGTCAGTTAATGTGGCATTTAAAGAGAACTGTAGAAGATGGGAACAAAGGCGCCTAATTTCAAAAGTCACCAAAGAGCCTCGGTTGTCACACACTTGTGCTTTTCAGGTGTTAACACAAGGAAGCGAATGCGCAGGGGACAAAGGAGCAGAGGAACGCGCCATAAAAACACAAGTCAGGACAAATAAAAGCACCAGACAGGGTGCAATGGCCCTTCTTTCTTGACAGAAAAGAGCCGAGCTGAAGAGTTTTATTTACCGTGCCCTGTTATCAGTCTCTGAACAGTGAGCAGACTGTCTGCCTATGAGGCCACAGAAGGACTGGGTGTTCTGTGTACAGCAGACGCTACCGCCTGCGGCACATCACTCTATCAAAAAATAATAATAAATACACTTCAGAGTCAACACCCCAAATCCCATCGCATGCACTGTAACTACAGTTCCCAGTTCACCTTTGGAATGCCCTTGTCTATTCAGATGAAGACATGAGAGAGACAAGTTTGCATACTGCTCGCAGAAATATTCGATCCTTGTTCTGCACTCACCTTACACCTGCATAGATGGACACATAGGACAGACATATGCGCACACACACACACGCACACACACACACACACACACAGCTGTTGGGATGTGGGTTGGCTCTCACAGAGATGTAAATCGGTTGCAGATCCATACAGGCCCAGGGCTCATTCACTGATCTATTTTCTGCTCAGCTGGCTTTAAATGAAGTTAAAATGACTCATTAAAACACCCACAAGCTTTGGGAACTCTGAACGCTCGAGCCTAAATGTGGTCCTCTTTCAACTCTAAAATGCCTCTATACACAAACACTGTGCCACTGTTCCTTAGCGCTGCACACAAATAACAAAAAAAGCCCCAATCTGTTCATTTCTAAAAACAACAATTTTTGAAAACAAACTGTTTGGGAATGGTACGTTTTGTTACACAAGACAAAAAAATAAAACTTGGAGGAGAGTAGTTTTGTATTAGGAGTAACAGTGCAACAGTGTTGTAGATCCTGATGTTGTGTGACGCTGTCCAGTGTGGTGTGTTGTGTTGTGTGAGATTGTGTGATAAGGGAAGAAGAGAACATAGTGCATTGTCTTGTGCAGTCAAAGGCATGGAGTGTGCTCTCATCCATAAACCATCAAACTGTCTCCAGACGCGGCTGCAATCGTCCTCCATCAAAACACTTTGTCTGGCATACCAAAATAAGAGCCAGCATCGAGCTGAATACCAAATCAGCCCATTAGAGCAGTGGAGCACTCGCTCCTTAGCAACCAGCGGGATCTAAGGCTGCTATACCGAAATACACGGTGACAAAGAAATGAGATCCACATCTCTTTTTTTTTGGTAGCATTATGGGTTGACACATTGGGATGGGGAGTTTATGCAAAAATTCAAATTAGGTTAAAGGTGCTGCTGTTGATGTCACTGCGAATTGAAAATCAAAGCGTGTTGTCGAAGGTCTGCGAGTAATGCAAGACAGAATGTGTGTTTAGGCGCATGCGGAGGGTATAAAGGGACGACTCGGGTGAAGTTTAAAGAAACAGATTCTCTCTCGTCTGTCAGCAGTATGTCAGTCCCAAACAATTCTCAGAGAGAGCAGGCGGGGAGGACAGGGACCTCGCCTTGTCTATACACATAATCCATCTGAGGCTTCTGTTTCTGTTTCATTTTTAGTGCCTGATCCTCCCCCCCCCCCCCCTCTCCTCACCCGCTCCCTGCCTCCCCCCCCCCCCCCCCCCCTCCTCACCCGCTCCCTGCCTCCCCCCCCCCCCCCTCTGCTCCTCTTCCTCTATTTTGGATAAAGTAGCTGGGAGAGCAGTCAGGTCTGATTAAGTCTGCATTTGGGTACAGTGTGTTCCTGGACACACATCTGCGAGCGAGCCATCACACACGCTTCGGAACACTGGCAGAACACCCAGGCCTGCCGGCAGCTGATGATGTCATCACTCAGAAGGGGCAGAGCTGGCGAGCCGCCAGAGTCTCCGAAAAAACACAGAAACGATTCAAACGGAGAGAGAGAGAGACTAGAGAGCGACGGAGAGAGAGGTACAGAGACCTGAGCATGGAAAAGAAAGCATGATCCAAGTATTCGGAGCAGCACTAACTGGTAGGAGGAGGGGTGGGTGAGGGGGTGAGGGGGGTGTAGTATGAACAGGTGCATTTGAAAGGCCGCACTATCAAGAGGCTTCATAAGCACTGAATACTCTGAGATGAGAGTGTGAGAGTTACTAAGTACCTGTGTGAGACAGCATGTGCATCCTTAGCCGCATGCTGTCCTGGAAGTGTTTGCCACAGTATTCACAGCCGTGGCCTTTCTCCTCGTTATGCAGCCTCCTGTGCGAAGACAAACACAAAATGTGAGTGTTAACAGAGATGACAACAAAGCAAGAACGCACTTGTGATAATAAAAGTCTCGGTTCTGCGCCTTTTTTTTTTCTTCTGCAAGGTCCCCCCAAACCCAGAAGCACCATTGTCCTCGTAACAAGAGGAGCATGTTTTAATTCCGGCAAGAATCCCTGGCTGAATGCAACATCATTAGTGTAAGAGGCCCTTGGAGTTCTGAATCACAACGCATGAATGCTAAAAGAACACAGACAATAGGATATCAGGCTAATTTCAGAGTGCAGACATACGCGTGCCTCCACCCGCCAGCACAGCAAGACACGGGGCACGCACACACATTCACACACTAAGAACATGCACGTCGACTCATGCCCCGGCTTAACATGCGCACACACACACACACACTCTTCTCCTGTAACTGCAATGAAAAGGAGAGAAGACGATGATTCGCTGAAGCTCCGCCGGCAGCAAAACCTATCATATCATATCACACACATCCAAGCACATGCAAGGCATCTGTACTGTTATCCTTAGATCACCCCGCTAACAGCCTACAAAGAGTCTACCATTAAACACACTCTGTGGTCAGAATCAATTATTCCTGAGATGTTACTTAGCACGCATGAAATGAACAATAACATATATTGGAGGAATATTTGTTTTGCTACATGCTAAGTAACAAGCTTTTGGATTTTTTCTGTACGTTTAAAGATGATCATTTACTTGAGCATTCATGCGAGACCTTTCATTTTGATATTCAAATGGCACAGCAGTTTGAGTTATCGGCCTAAAATCCACGACAAAATTATGAAAAAAATGAATGGTATTTTCTTTTTAAATCCTATAATTATAAACTCACAATAATTAATTAATTTAGTTAATTATATTCATAATTCTGCAAAAATGTTTTGTGTTCAAACATGCAAAAAAACAATATATAATTAGGTTTATTGGAAGAGTTTTAAGTAACCTTCAAAATGACCAGAAATACAGTAGTGTAGTTTTCACTATGTCATAAATGCATCACAAGTTTCTTTCTGCATATTTCAACATTTGGAATGCAATCCTTGTATTTTTTTGCTTCTTTATTCTCCCTTTATTTTCCTGAAACCTGTTTGATTTCTGAAGTTTTTCACACTAAATCTGTGCCAGGGGAAACTTCTTCAACATCTAGAAAATGTCAATCTGCAGAGCAGGTGTATGCTCAGTGACCTGGTTACAGACCTACAGAAACTTCATTACATCCTTAAGCAACGCCGCCAATGCAACTCCTTCAACCTGCGGACATCCGCCTGTCTCCATGAGTAAGCCGCGCGCATCACTAAATATCCCACAGGATGCTCTGTTTCACCCAGCGCTTTCAACACAACTCTGGAGCGGCACGAGGCACAAATGTCAGCCACAGGCGCGGACAGGAAAACGCTGTGATCCTAATCATGAGTTAACGGCATATTAGGACTATCGGCTCACAGATTGTCCTGTTTCTAATAATTAGTGATGAGTCAAACACTGCCAAACACGCACAATTATTATCATCCGCAATCAAGATAATGAGAGTTGTCATTGAGCTAGTGACTTTTTGTGTACAATGACACAATCTAGGCTGACAGGCTGGCAAATAAAGGAGGGTAGAAGAAAAAACAACAGAGCAGGTCGTGAGGCAGAAGTTATCCATCATCCAGCTGAAGCGTCCAGCCCGGTCCCTGCTGAGCGGCTCCTCTCTACTGATGCAAAGGCATGCATATCAAATAGCCTGCGAGACAGCCTGTTGTGTGAGACACGCTTCTGCACAAATAATCAAACAGAATTTGGAAAATTGGGCTTTGTAAATAACGGCGTTATGCGACACCAAGGCCTCTTTATACCTCAAATCCCTCACAAAGACCCGATTCAAAACTTCCAGAGACATCACTGTTAAGACATGAGTGCAGGTGTCCCTGAGAATAAATTAACATATTTGCTGTTGCTCCTTCCAGCTTCTAACTCTCACAGTATTTTAACTTGATGTGTCCAGAGTCTTTTCCTCACAGCACTACTTTGCTTCACATAAATCATTCCGCACAAGCACACATAATCCTGTTCATCCCTCACATCTTTTGTTAGACGCAGCATACGGCATTTTCTTAAAGAAGTATAATGAAAAAATGTCACTGAGATTAAAACAATTCAATCTTTCTTTTTGATTCAACACATTACAGACGATTTACAAATTGTCTTTTTGTTTGATTTTACATTACTTCCGATATTAAAATATATTGTAATTCTGCAGTAAAGTGTAAAAAGGGTGTTGTTACCTGTGCTGCTCCATGGCCTGCCTGCTGTGCAGCTGAAGCCCACACTCTCCACAGCACTGCTGGCCCTGAGCCGGGGCCTCGTGCCTCATCCCTGCTGCGAACTGGCCCAGCCTGCTGAGGAGCTCCCGGTGCAGCAGGCCCTGATGCAGCAGGCCGCTGTAGGCCCTGGGGTCCAGCGGCACGCCCAGGGAGGGGGCCACTGGCAGCATCCCCTCCCCTGTGTGGTTGGAGGGCATGGAGTAAATGGAGGCCAGATGTTTCTCAGAGATCCCGGGGAAACAGTCGAGAGTGTTTCCCATCACTTGGCCTCCTTCTTCGGGGCTTGTGTGCAGCTCTCGGGCGCTGGTGATCACGCTGCCTCTCAGGGGCGTCCCCGGACCCTCGTCTCTGGGCTGGTCTGACAGGCAGCTCCCTTCCCCGGCGCTGGATGAGCCATTAGGTTCATCTACCTGCATATTCTCTGATTTTATGATTCTGCCAGGATCCAGGGACGAGGCTTCTCCGCGGCGCTCGGGCTGCTGGGAACTCTCCATGTTGTCCTCCATGTCCATCTTGGGGCTCAGATCATGAGCAGCCTCGTTCTCTGAGTTCCCCTCCGCCATGTGGTACAGCGCCAGGTGGTGCAGGGCGGTGGGACTGAGGTGGTTAGGCCCGTCCTGTATGGAATGCTTCTTGGACATCAACATGTGCCTCCAGTGCCGGGCTCGGCCGTGGTCACTGGCGTCCCCGGAGCTTTGAGTCTTCACCGCCACCTCCTCCGTCTCCTCCGCTTGGATTGTCTCCAGCACCTTCAGGCACTGCTCCTCCAGGTACTCTATCTCCAGGATCTCAGCGGCGTACAACAGGTCGTCCAGGTCCTCGGCCGTGGCCTGGAGCGAGGCGGTGTAGGCGTACTCCAGGATCTGCTGGAAGGTCTTGGGGGACAGGAAGTCCAGGGCGTAGCGTAAGCTGCTGCGGTGGAACAAGATCTCGAACATTTTGCTGGTGCAGGCCAGGACCGTGCGGTGTGCAGGGAACTCCTGGCCGTCCACCGTGATGATGACATCACACAGGGTGCCGGACAGACGCAACTGATTGGCCCGCTGCAGAAGCGTGCTGGGGTGAGTCGGATTGTGGAGCTGGAGCACACCCATGTTTGTCAGACCCGTATCCACTCGGACCTTTGCCGAGCCCACGCATGAGGTGTTGCTGTCCTGCCTGCTTCACTTGCCTTCAACTGGTTGTAGGTCTGTGGTTAGGGTGGAGGGGGAGGGGAGACGGTCATTAGTGCCTGTCTCACTTACAATGTGATGCAAAAACGTTGTTAATTACATTCCAGTGTACACTTTCATCCCTGATCAATCAATAGAAATACTTAAACAAATACATTACATTAAAAATACAATTATATATATATTCTGTAAAATTCAAACCCCACCTTTAGGGTTCTTAATCCATGCACCCTACATGATTATTTATTTTAATTAAGAACCAGATGCAGACAACAGGTCGATAGGCACAAAGCAACAGTTTCCATTGCAGGTGATTAGTCTGAGGTCTCGTAGAGCGGTCACGTCGCTGTAATAACGTCTGCATACTGAGAGGTGACGGTCCAATTTATCAAGCAGCTCACACACACACTCACACATCTGTGCCCTCAACAGGTAGGCCCGCTATTAACAAACGCCTTGCAGGGCTGATTAGTTCATTTAGGCTGCGCACGTTCCTGATTAGACGTGTGCGAGACAATTAAGCCGCTCTGTTAAAAAAAAAAATCCCTAAATAAGTTATAAAACTATTAAATGGAGCAAACCGTGGAAATAATGCGGAATCCTGCGACAGGCACTTGTATTTTGACCACATTTAAATCCCTAAATGACAGTGTGAGTAAACATTGGACTGTGTATGATGATGTTTGTCGGACCTCTCAGCAGCACCTCGAGCGATGCTGACAGGCTGCATCCTCAACTAACCGCAACATCGGAGCGCATCAGGTGCACACGCACAAATCCACATTTATTATACAAACACATTGCGACAAATTAACCCTGTCCAAGCGCGTATTTACTGACTGCACGGTGTTTGAGGGAGCGCGAGCTGGGCGAAAATTTAAACACACCAATTTATCCCAAAAACTGTCCAATTTGTATATCATGTCCGCGCGATACAGACTGAGCTGAATCAAGTTTGTAAAATCCTAAATCAGGCTGCAGCCAAACTTAAGGTAGATTTACACACGTGTGCTGTTAAACGATATCATTTTACACGCTATAAAACGGACATTAATTCAAATATTAATTGTTGGAATTAGTCTGAGACTGGAAAGTAGTTGATAGGAGAAGAATGAGCTGAAATGAGCAGCAGAAATATTAAAAGTGTCGGCTGTCACAGTTGTTCTTACCTCTGTCTCCTAACGTCCTCCGCTGATTACCCAGGCAGCATCATGGTTACACATTTCACAGTACCCGCTCCAAACTCAGTCTGCTCCAAGTAAGCAAATCATCACCCAGCCACCACAGTCAAACCCACGGGGGGACAACCACACTTCCGGGACGAACTTTCAAAGTAAAACCCTGTCTTGAGAACCACGTGTTGAAATATTTGATTGTGTTATGGTTATTTGTAAGAAAAGCATATCAAGTCACTGATTGATAACCGATTTGTCTATGGTTTGACTTTTGGTGTTTTATGTAATGCACTTTAGATTGCCTTGTTGCTTCAATGTGCCCATTTAATAAATATTCATGTTTCAACCAGTTTTTCATCTGTGTGAACTTTTACAGAGAGACTCCAATTAAAATGTTTTAGATATAATCTACTTTGAAATCTAAATGTTGGTAATGGATAATATTATGTGTCAATATGATGTGTGGCTCTTATTGCTTCTGGTGTTGGAACAAAATAAGACAATAAGCTAAGGATTTGGCGTCTAATTTGGTAGTGATGTCCTTTTTTTGGTATAAAATAACTGAAGGTACTGTATCATTGCAAAACTTGTGTAAAATAGCGACGCTCATAAGTTGTACCATTATTTACCATTTCTATAAAAATAATTTGGTATTTATGTATAAAGTAGTGCAATTTCCCCTCCTTTTATAAAGCAATCGCAGCAACCTTCTGCAATTACTGATTTTAAAAGATGCATTATTTCATCGTGAAGAAAATAAGGAGCTTTTTAGCGGAGGATATCTGTCTCAGCATAAATGTTTCCTTACATGTAATTAACTCATACCTTATCCTAAATGTGGGAATATTTGTTGCATATATTCATATGATTTAAACATATACGTAGTGTAAGAAAGAAAATCCAGTTTGACTAATGCATATCTCATATTAGTACTGCCATAAAACCTATAGAAAATACAGAGAATGCAAAATGTTTTGACACAACTGAGGAACACACTTTTTGGCTCTAAAGTCCAGCAAAAATGTGGGAGTGGTTTTTTGGTGTCAAAGAAATGTTGAGCCAGTTGGGGGAAGGGTGCAAGAGTGACATAAATACAACTTCATTCTGACTGAAGGACAGTGAGATATTTCAAGATAACCTGAATACTGCTATTGCCATCATTTTCATTTTAGACTTTTCAACAGATGGTTGCTAGATTGAAAAAGGCTATAGAGAAAATTGTAGAAATACAAAGGCATCCTGGTGACCCTGTGCTTTAAGGAAGTTGACCCATGAGGTCAACTGAGGTCAAGAATGTCAGTCCACTATAATACCCCCATCCCCCTTCAGTCTCCCACGTCTTTCAAATATTTGTTAACCCTTGCATACATTTTCTCGTGACACAATCGTCTAAATGTTATTTGAGGAACGAAATCCTAGAGTTTAAATGTAAAAAATCTTTAATGAGACTTCCAATTATATAAAAACACAACATGGAGTCCATTCCTTCTGCATAAATGATTACTTACACATAGCTGAAAATACTTATGTAGTTTTCCTTGAGTAACATTTTGAATAAATGCAATGTTGTATTTTTGAATCAGGGTGCTTTTGTTCGTTTGAATGACCTAATACAGGATAAATACAGGAATATCTGCCGATAGTAGCTGCAGCTAGGGTGACCAGGTGTCCCACTTTGTGTGGGACTGCACAGCATTTTTATAATTTGTCCCACACATTGAGACAATGTCCTCCATCACTGTGTCAGATGTTAATCAATTAATAAAGTCTAAAAATGAATTTGTGTAGCCGGTAGAGGGCGATTGCCAAAGAGTTTTTTGTGACATTTCTCCAGCTCCAGACTCAGAGATGCAAATAAATATAGGCTAATGTGGACATGTTTTGTTGGAGAAAAAAAACCATTTCAAACCAAATAAGAAAGTCCTATAAAATCCTAAGTAATTATTATGTATAAGCTAGTTTCAATAGAAATGTTTATTTGTAAGGGCTAAATGGCCTTTTTTGAAATCTAAACCACCTCTTATCATTGCAGTAACAGGTCCTGCATTGTCCCACACAAACATTCTCTTTGTTCCACATGTGGCTTGTTGGCACCTGGTCCCCCTAGCTTCAACTCTGAAGGTAAACAAAATGGAGGCTTTTGAAAAAAATTCCACAATTTGACAAAAGCTCCTGTTGCACTAAAAAGTCTATCATGTCTCATTCTATTATGATTTATTTTGTATTTCTACTGTTTCACTTTGAAGGCTACATCACCTAGCTTCCTGTATCATCCTGGCTTTCTGTTGCTGGCTTAACCGGCAGCAGCAAATCACCACCGGGAGACGTCACTGCTCTGACTGCTCGCCCTCTGCTGCTCGTCTCTCCATCAAGGCGGCTATCAGAGACATCTACCGGGCACCTAACTACCGACAGGCTACCAGCTCAGGGCCAGCGTGCTGTCCTGCAATAACAAGCAGAAACCGGTTAATGCAGGCTGGGGATAAACATCAAACCAGTTAACAGAATAGTGGAGGGGAATTGAAGTTGGGTAAGGGGGCAGCCTGACCGGTGAAAGATGTGGAGAGTGAAACCGGATGCCCCGCCGGGTCAGTGCTGGCCGCCGCGGTTGTTGACGCCGTTGTTGACACAGCACCGGTACATTAGTTAGAGGTGGCAGGCCAAAATTAAACATCTTAAAATATCAAGCCCCCACTGGTTCATAGTATTTTGACATCCTAGCCTGGAAGTATCAACTTTACTCCCGCACAACACGCATTATGTAACATGTTTATTTATTCCTCCATTTATCAGAAGCAGGCCGGGGAGTTTTCCAGGCCCAACATAACCTGTTTGCTCTGTAACCTTTCTGTAAATAGTCCGGTGTGTCCATGACATGGCGAAAACAAAAGAGCAGCTACAAATAGGTAGGCTACTTACTGCCATCTAGTGTTTAAAATGTACAGCTACATGGGCTCAATCTCAGGAGAAAAGTAATTGAAACTTATGACAAAAGGGGCCAAGACAAAATTAGATTCGGAAACCATTTTTTATTTTGTAAATGGGTTAGCGCTCAGACTGTACACAACAGATATTTTCTGAGTTGGACCCAATAAAACCAAAAGGAGCATCCAGTGACAAGGAAGCAAAGGTAGTCAGGAAACAGCAGAGGAGTAAAAGGTGTTGAGTAAAGCTGTCTTTCTGTTCTTACATACTTTAGATCTCTTATCATCTTAAGATTTAAAAAAAGGTTTGATCTCCCGCTTCATGGGGACCACTCTGCTTCCTGCCAATGTGTATCCTGAACTTGTCAAGCAGTTGCTCCTGGTGAGTGACTTTTGTACAAAAAGACAACAACGAAATAAAATAAAATTCAAAGACCACATTACAGAACACTTGAATAACAACAGGGGGAGAGAAATAAAAACAATGTGTAGTTATGGCAGAACAAGCCTGAACGGTAACACTCATTAAATCAATATGAAAACTATTTACCCCAACAAACATGGGCATGTTTATCTGCCTTGTAGATATACGTTATAAAGTACTGACTGAATTCATGCCAAGGCTCAAAACACCTCCCTTCACTATAGCTGGCAATATATAGTGCTGTGACCAGAGACGGACAATTTCATACACTACACGTGTTATAATGACCACATTAGTCCATTTATCATACTTTTCTTCTAATACAACATATTAAATAAAAGAATAGGCTAAATCTCTCACGACAAAGCTATGCAGATTATCATAGAAACTGATGACAAGACAATCTATCGACACACAGGCACAGTGCACAAGCTTGCAGGCAGGAAATGGAAAATAAATCTTTGTAGTTTTTAAATAGTACAAAAACGCTTTTTTATTTTTCACTTTTTTTCTTCAAAAGCACAACTCAAAGTACGAAGCCAGACCTTTGATCTGCTTTAATGTGAGAAGGAAACAGTAGCTCTGTAGTCGTTGCCCTCTGAACAAATACGTGGCGTAAATTTAGCTCATAAGATTATCGGTTCTTCAACCTTTGGCTGAGAATCGTGTTCTGCTGGCAGTTTGTCTTCTGTGGACGTTAGCGTTCAAGGAGTTGCCTCTTTTAATCAAATCCATTTGATTTACAAATATTTTAATCAGCACTGTGGTAAGGCAGTGACAGACTGAATATTCGATCAGTATATGGGCCAAATCGGATGTGATAATGCACACTGTTGATGTGTTGTGGGATTCTCTCTCAGTCTCTTTCCCCCTGCAGCTGGCTGTGGGTTAATCCTGCATTTATATAACCATAACAACTATGGTTAGAATCCAAATACTGTGTTTAATCAATGCCAGCGAATCTGTGAGAGATGAAACGCCGCTGTAACAGACGTAGTGAAACAATAAAGCTTGTACACAAAACTTTACAGCCTCTTGCAGCTCAGACATGCAGAACAAGCTATTTACTGAGACAAGCCCAGAAATTAAATGAAAAAAAAATGAAAATAGTTTTTCATTTGAACTGTAAAACATGAAAATAAGAAAAAATATTTCTATAGTCAGGTTTTTCTCTCCTTTTTTAATTTTTTATAATAATCCAATATTTTTGCGCAGTTCAAACCAAAAGCAGAGAACAGAGAGTAGAGTCTAATTCCATATATTTATCAAGCGATCATGTAATAAGAGATTGTCCTCAACCGTCCTGACGGGTTAAATAAAATAAGAATAAAAAAATAAAATAAATCTCTTATGATCTGAAGATAAACTCCTTGGTGTATAGTAAACATCTCATGAATGAAACCCGGAATGAAAGCACAGTCGAAGTGTGCTCTAACCAATCGACAGGTGTGCGTGTGGTTTTTAATATGTAGTTAAGGGCACTGGGAAAGAAAATTCCTGCAGTGTTTCTCGCTCGGTGCTGCCGCAAAAATGTTTTGGATTGGACAGAGGGTTTCCTCGACCCATCATGCTTTGCTCTCGGTGGAATTTGTGTGTATGACACGGTTGTGTTCTGCAGTAATCTCCGTCAGGGCGTTTGTCATTTCTGCCTCCTCCACTTTGTCTTTCTGATCAGAGAACATCTTCCTGCAATGGAAAAAGGGAGAAAGTGCACAATTTGAAATCTGGTCATCCCTGTGTAGAGCAAACAACACTTTAGTTGCACAAAAAAGTTACACAATTTTAACCATTTACTCTGAATGACACCTTTACTCAAATATGTAAGAAGACAGTGTTTGTGTTTAGAGGTCTTCTTACATATTTCTTCACCACCTTGACAACAGTAGGATAAAGTTAAACAAACAGATAAGGACACTCCCATAGGAATCATTTGGTGTGGACTAACCTTCCTGATTTAAAACGGTATTTATCAGCTCTGCCCTTAAGACATTATGAGCCTTGTGGTGTGTGTGTATATCCTGAAGCAGTGAGGAAGAGTATCTACATCCTGCCTGCAGCTCTTGTCCTCTCCTGGGGAGGATTTAGCACTCAGAGGCAATACAGTAACTGCCTGAGACAAAACACTTCCTAATGAAACCCCCTTTCAGACATGCAACGTGTAACACTGCTGGCTCATCTATGTGAATTTGTGACATGGTTTTATCAATCAGACTTACAAAGGGGATGTTAGGACTTAAATCAGCCACAATTATTGTGCAACATCACCATCTAGTGCATGAGAAGCAGAGTTTGCATTGTGGGTTGGAAAGCAATGATATCACTATATCTGTTCTCTAAACAGCCTGCATTAATGTTAATTAAAACTCATTCTTCTGTTGAAGCCTTAACTAATTAGCATTTTAAGTGTCAGGATTTCCTCATCCCCCAACACATGCATTCCAATATCATTCCAATATCATTCCAATAACTTGTATATAGACTCGTACTGCACTATTCTACTTTTTAACTGTTAAACAATTGAACTGCTAAAACAATTTCATAACATTCATCTGCTACTTAGTAATATATATCTACTATCTAATATATATCATTCCAATAACTTGTATATAGACTCGTACTGCACTATTCCACTTTTTTTTCTCTCTCACTTTATTTTAGAACTATTTTTATTTTTGTATTACTTTACTATCTGTATTATTATGTTGCATTGTTGGAGAAGCCTGTGACCTAAGATTTTCAACAACATAATTACTCTGTAGCTATGTTAGTTTGACAATAAAGAACCTTGAACCTTGAATGTGCTTAAAATTATATCATGTATCTCTTCTGTATATTTTCCAACGGCCACCAGCTCTGATTGTTGTCGTACTTAGATGGTTTTTCCTAAACTTATCTCCACTTTATAGACTGCGACCAAAAGTCTTTAAAAGGTTCAGTGATTCCTGGTTTATTAAACTAAGATATATATATATATATTTTTTTAACATAAGAGATGATAAAGATAAAGATATACATCTGTGACAGCGCTAAAACACGACATGTATTTAGGTGTGCTGTTGCTAAAACCAGAAATGGAGAAAAAAAACAGTTGTCATTGAGGGTGGTGCGAGACAAGATAATTGCATAAATATGTGGAAACGGTTTTTGTGTGTAAGGTTTTTATAGTGTTTGTGAAGACAAAAAAGGACAAAAATAGTTAGCTAGGCAATGAAAGAGAGCTCGAGAGGAAAATATCCAGCCCCGCTTACTTTGTCCTTTCTCCCCTCTGCATGTTGGATTGTCACTTTCAATTAGCTCCTCGTAAAGATGTGTGTGTGTGTGTGTGTGTGTGTGTGTGCGCGTGCGTGCGTGCGTGCGTGCGTGCGTGCGTGGGTGTGTGTGTGTGTGCGTGTGCGTGTGTGTGTACATACGGGCAGGTGTAATCCGACAGCATGTAACTCAGACTTGTGCTCTGTTGGGCGTTTTGCAGAATAGTTTTGAACTCAGACATGTCAAGTAACAAGCTCCATGTCTGAAAGGGGCTTAAATAATTCTTGTGGTGAATGTTGCAAAAGTGGAGGCCCCCCTATGAAGAATACTTACACACACAAGCATAAAAACATTACCGTCTTATCACTCGTCTGTCACAATCCACAACCTCTTACTAATAAATAACCCAAATGTCCTTACCACAGTTTACCATTACAATATTTCATATTGTGTGGTCAATGGCAAGATGCAGTGGTGAATGAATGGGCATACAAGTTACACACATACACACACACACACACACACTCACACAAACACACAGATAAACCTCTAGAGGGAGCCGTACTCATCGTTGACAGGAGAAGCAGTCTTGGCCAGAGTCTCTGATGCCTCCAGAGCTGGGCCTGGGGGGGGGAGGTCTGCTGCATCTCCATTGGCCAGAGGGGGGGCAAAAGGAGGGCTCTTTAAGCTAATAAGGTATTTGTCAGTTTCCATCCCGTTTGCAATCTCTAAATCTGTATCTGCATTTTTAGGCCCTTCAACAGAGGAAAGTAAGGCGTATCTGTCTGACCGCGATGCAAAGGGATCCTTAGAAACCGGCTCCTCAACGGGGGGGGGCGTGAGGGGAGGAAATAGTAGTGACAGGTAAAGGAGAAAGAGCAGATTTTTCAGCATCCAGGACTTTAAGAGCACCGTGGATCCCTGAAAGAGAGCTAGTTTCAGCATCTTTGGCAGTGTTAGTATGGCCAGGTTGGTCAATAGGGCTTTTAAGGCTTTCAGGATCTGGTTTTGGAGGGGCAGTGGTTGCTAGAGGTGCGTCAGTGTGTACCGGGGTCTCTGTCTCTGAGGCTACAGTGTGTGGCTGTAGGGGCAGCTGCTTGACCGGTGGCTTTGGAGCAGGTTTCCTGATGTTGACAGAGGGAGAGGGCACTGGGGAAGACGCAGCCAGGGGCGATACAGGCGGGCTAGCTTTAGCATTCATAGCGGCAAGTTTAGGAGAGTTTCTACGCTTCGGGGGTATCGGCGTCTCGGATTTTGCCGCCTTAGCCCAATCAGGGGTAGAAGGAGGAGTGGTTATTTTCTCCAGTTCTTCGGGGGCGTTACTTCCTCTTTGTTCTACTAACGGGGCCATTTTAGCTTCGATGGCCGAGGTGAAGATGAGGGGAAGCGGCGGGGCCGTGTTGGACTCTGGAGTTGGGGCCGGGGCCAGGAGGGGGGTGGGTGAGGGGTCGTTGGCCAGGGTAGACAGGCTACAAGTGAGGGTAGTGGTCTCGCTAGAGGGGCTGTCCTGAGAGGGGTCAATTGTTGCGGTGGCTGTGTCAGAGTTGGTGGCTACGGAGGAGAGCGTGTCCAGTGCCAGAGCAGCAGTGAAAGCCGCCAGCCTGAGAGAGCAGGGAGAGAACAGAGACACACAGACTAGACACCAGGGTGACTGTGACAGAGGAAGGGTGGCTCGCACGAGAGCATGCATAGGGGTTAGTTAACTTAAGAAAAATCACACAAACATAGACAAAGCAACTTAAAAACAGCAACAATTAAGCCTAGTGAGAAAAAGAAACAAAAGAAGGCATCATGCTGTGAGTGGACATTGGAGGATACATCCCATACACACACCAACATGAAGTACGCTCACTAGGACAACTAACGTCCGGAAAAAAGCACCAGGCTTCCTGTAGGTAACTACAGCACCACCCGTAAGGGTTAAACAGTACCAGTGACTGATTCTCCTGCTGATAATGAGAGATGGCTTCATGTGAGTTGACTACACTCAAGAGGACTACAAGCTTTAGTGTCTTTAACTGGTATTGCTTCAACCTTGATACAATGAGACACATCTCTAAAGACTGGAGAAGAAACACAAAGAGTAGTAATCCCTCTGAAAGGGAATAAAAACAGAAAAGCAACACAGTTCAGTGGACTCCACCCAAGAATGACATGACGTTTTCTTTTTCTTTGTTAAACGGGTCGAATTGTTTGCTGTCGAATTTGATAATTATTCTTAGAAGTGGAGTGCAATGCACAACAGCTAAATAAAAAAGACTTGAGCAGTTGAAGGCTGTGTGCTCAGGGGCTGTCTTTACTCACTCTGGCTCTGTGAGAGGTGTGGTTTCATTGGGTTCTGTCGGTCCTGCTGCGTTGTGATTGGCTGTGCACTCGTCCTCTGTTCTGACCTCCACTATTGGCTCTTTGGACTCATCTTTCCTGCAGGACATAGAGACAAAACAACTTGGTAAAATGGCAACAGATATCTCATTAAACAGTTATTGGTCCAACAGTGGCTGTATGTAGCACAAATCAATACACAAGGCAACTTCCCTCTTAAAGTGATTCAAAACTGCCTTATTTTGCACATGAGAGTATTTGTTTGACGCCTCACTTAAAGCCGGCATCTTATATATTTTGACTGAAGGAGAAATCTACTCTAAAAACTAAATCTCATCCATGGGCCTGTGTGATTGATTTGTTTATTTCCCTGTCTTGCAGATAATTACAAAGCGAACTCTAATCCACAGCAGTCACAACAACGACGTGTTGGTTTTGCAAAGGAGGCACAACCGTTTTTCTTTAATGGCAAACCCCCCCCCCCCCCCCCCCCGATTATATCTTGCTTCACTAGCCTCAACGTCAAACCTTAAGCTAAGATTCTTCATCATCATCACTGTCAGTCCTTGAAGGCCTTCTGGGGAATGTAGGAAGTGACCTTTTAAAGTAGCAGTCGGCAAATGCAAGTAACGTAAAATAAAGAACTATGTGATCAGAATAGTTTTTGTTTATTCTACATCTAACAATAACTTTCAAAAGTCTACCAAAAACAATTAAGATTTATTTACTCTTTTTCAGAACTGGAATTACTTTTAACATCATTTTTTTCCTTTCTTTTTGGCAATGTTGGCCATTTATACATCCAGCAGAAGCTTAATATTGATTTAAGGCATATGACTTCTGTATCTGGATATATTCTCTGGATAACATTATCTGATATATCCGGTCATTACTTTTTTTTCTTAGTTTGAATCTGTGCAAGGGTAACGGTAACTGCTTAAGAAATGTGTCTGCATGAATTTGATGTCGCTGATACTCACATGAAGGCCGCCTTGCCCTCCTCCAGGTTGTGCCCTTTGGTGCCGGTGCTTGATTTACCGCAGAGGCACATGATGAGGCCACATTTGTTGACAAAGAAACAGGCGACATCCAGAGCTAGCAGCAGGAGTATAGATAATATAACAATAATCCCTGACCAGAGTATGATGTCCATGGAGAGCGCCGCCTCATCGCCCAAATCTGCTGGACAAGAGACAAGAGAGGCAGAGTGCTGAACAACTGCAGCGTGACACTTTCAAACAAACACCCAGGAACAACTGAATAAAAGTGCAGCTACGCTACAGTGACCACAAGAAGTTCCATAAAACAAAAACAACTCACCTGCTATGAGACACAGTTTGTTGTCTTGGCATGAATTTGGATGCATTGTGAAGTTTGTGTAGAATGTATAACAGCTATTGTTAAAAAACACATGTAAAAATAACATATCCAACCCATTTATTTGGTATTAGAAAGAAGAGCAAACCAAAGAGTACACTGTATTGCTATTACCCTGAAATGCAGGATAATTATGGACGAAAATGAACTTGAGGCTTTTCCAAAAATCACAAAAGGCTATGACGCATGTTTTCTGTAAAATCCACACTAAAATATCCTCTCTGTTTCTAGACAATTGTAAACCTTTAGATACCAATATTAAAGGAAGATCTGCTAGAGAATAAAATGCATCTGAGTGAAGCACCCTCCATAGTAAATTGTATAAAAACATCTATTATTGAATGATATGTGATAAACATTACATGCATGATAGATTTTAGACATATGTAAACAGCACTCAAACTGTTTTTTTGTGATCATTACAGCTTTTCAAACCAATCCAATATTATTATTAAAACATTTTTCAGTTAGGTGTTGTGTGTAAACGTTAATATTACAAACCTTGACATTACATATAATCATTTTGTGAGCAATTCAATTATATAATACAGGGAACGGACAGGACACTCAGCTATTTATCTATTGTTTTGTTTTTTTAAATATAACCTTATTCCACTATTGCTCATTACTGTAAACTGGCAGTTGTCTGTTGTCTACTGCTGATGACTAGCTGTGCTTCTGTTGAGGAGGAGGACATCCAATGCTTTGGGTTCAGCATCCTCTCCCAGAACACTGAGACACGTCTGTCATGGACACAAAGTCTGTTTTTAAGAAGTGAAAGCGTCCAGAGAGACAGCGAGGCCTGAGAAAGGCCAGCGCTGCTCGACAGTTATGGTGTGGAATCCCCATGAAAACTATGAGATCAGGAGCACAGTGATGAGGGACATGATGAGTGATGCCAAAGTGCATGTCACGGATGAACAGCCCTGAGTGGCTGAGGAGCGGGAGGACAACCCTGACCACACCAAAACGCACACAGGGCGAGACGGAAATGTTCACGTGGTCCACCACACCAATGTCCAGGACCAGGCGAGAGAGCAGGAACATTGAGAGAGGGGACAAAAGACAGAGAGAGAATAAAAGGACAGAGAGAGGGGGGGAATGAAGGGAAACAAAGTGGAAAACAAGAGAAGGGCGGGGAAAACAGAGGAAGAGAGAAAGTGAAAATGTGTCAGGTCTGAAAACCAAAAGTAAAAAAAAAAGATTTCTTGTATTGAGGGGGAAAGAAAGAAAAAAAATACAGCAACACCACAAAGCAAAAGCACAGCACGAACGGGGAAACTACACACTGCGGACTAGATGGTGAGTGTGGTGGGTGAGTGGGAATGCTTTAGATTGGAAAATGATTTAGAAAGGAAGTGAGAAAAAGACATAATGGTTTGTTGCCATGTTTCAGCAAAGCACTCGGCGGCGTCTAGCACCTAAAGGGAATGTGAGCAGCTTTGTAAAACCTTCAGCTGCAGTTAAGACTTGGAGGTACAAGTTAATCAGCGGTTATCAAGGTTCAATTTAAGGACTGCTTCCACACAGGGACAAACTGTCCATGCTGGCTACTATTTAAAGCAGTAAACAAAGCTAAAAGGACAAATACTATCATTCAGAGGAAATCATTTTATCCTCTGTGGAAAGAGCCTGTCCCAGTTCTGCGAGCGCAAACTCAAGCTCATTTCGCAAGGGCTGTCAAAACTTTAAAGTGGGAAAATTCAGCCGGAAAATCATTTCTGGCTCACCGCCGTTCAGGAAATCTATTTTTTTCCCTGTAGATTTATTTAGTTGTCATTCACCTTTCAGAGCTAGAGAGTTAGAAATAGAGCGTGGCGACTGGTTTTGAGCTTTGAGTTTGGCTGCACAGTTCTCTGGTTGTTTAGTTCCATTCTGAGGGAGAGTACCTGCGATGGATTCTGGCTCGGGGGCCGTCCTGAAGGACATGGAGGCCGGCTGGGACCGTCCCTTCTGGTTCTCTGCCACCACAAACATGCTGTACTCCGTGTCCCACTCCAACCCGCTCAGATTCACGTAGTCACTGTAGCTGGGAATCCGGATCTCTGGGTTCCAATCCTTTGTCCTCTTCTGAGAAGGCAGAGAGAGATACAGTTCAACTAAGTTTTTCAATATTATAATATACAGATTACCTTCTTAAAATATATGAATCCATTTGTCTTTAGAACCTCAAACAATTATGAAAATGTTCACATCAACATTTTCAAACTTATAGAATTTTTTGTTTTAGCTAACCAACATTTTACACAATTTTCATATTTAATAACTTGAGCCCTCACAATTTTGTCCGCTTTTGCTTGAAAACTGTCTTGAAAGTGAGTAATCGATTATATCAGATACACTTTCTGTCGACTAATTGAATAATAATTTCAACTCTGCATGCAATAACATGAAGGTTTGAACACTAATCTTTTTACAATGTGCATTATATCTCTTTAAGATGTTAGACTTAAGAAGACTCTTTAGATGCCATTACGGCTGCAACTAAGTTTATCATTAATTATTCATCTGAAATGTTATAACTTCTCGATGAACCAATTCATCTTTTGGAAAATAAAATCTTGGCAAAATAGTGAAAATAAGTTGTTCAGTTTAATATCACAACATTAAAACACAACCGGCAAATATTCTTTTTTGAGGAGCAAAAAGTATTTTGCTTAAAAAAAATATGAATTGATTATGAAAGTAGTTGTTTCTTTAGACCAATGACTTCCGCTCTAAAGGCTGTACTCACTTGCTTATAGCGGACGAGGTAATGTACGATGGGCGAGCCGCCGTCGTCCTGCTTGGTCCAGCTGACTTTGAGGGAGTTGCCTTTGGGCAGAAGTGACCCGTCCAGTTTAGGAGGATTGGGATGCCCTATAGGAACAAGACAGAGGTTATATAAAGGCTCATTAGAAAGATGTTGAGAAAGACAGGCTTATTTTATTGGCAGAACATTGCGTCTGACCACCAGTACCTTTAAAGACGAATAGAGCACAGAAAAACAAATATCTTGTTTAGAAAATAAAAGCCACAACCGTGAAACTGGCCTCTTTGTGGCTGTCCTTAAACACTCTTGCCCTTCCTCATCGCCCCCCTCGAGATGGCTTGTCTCAGTCAGACTAATTACCAATGACACACCGCCGCATGCTAATCTGAGTCAGTGGCTGAGTGACATTCACCCAGTGTCATACAAGGCTCCAGGGGAATTGATTATGAATGACGTTTCTTAATGAAAGATTTGCAGGGTAACATGTTTGTGCCTTGAAACACACTCAATAAACAATGTTTTCACTGTCTTAAACTCTACTGATTTACACAATCAATGTTTAAAAACCTAACATAAAGCAACAAAATTCAGTCAAATTGAAATGTATCACATGACAACTGTAAGACTGCATTAAGTTATCTAATTGCTAGTTCTTTGTATCTATCTCAGACAAAGTGTTAGATTTTGCTCCTATGACATGTGAAGTTACCCGCGATCGATGCTGTTATTTTTGCTCCCTTTAAGACACATTATCCGTCTCCTATCATCAATATATATTATCGATAATGCGCAGCTTTATGTATCTATTAAACGTGAACTTTTAAACTTTTTAATGTGTCTCCTTTTGTCTGAATGATATTAGGGGCTGGATCTTGTACTTCGCATAAGATACATAAGTCCTGGTCTTTGCTTAATATCAGACTCTACATTTTCACAAATGTACTCACTGCAGACTTCTAATTAAAAGATGGGGTTGGAGAAACTCCAGGGTCATTTTTTTATTCCCAATTGAACTCTGAGAAACATTCAGGAAGTTATTAAGTATTCATTATTACTAACTACTTTAGGACTCTGGTGCTGAAATCAAAAACCTTCCAATTACTTTTAAAGTGTTCCACAATTTGGCTCTCCCTCTGGGGGGCAGATCAGCAAACCCCTCAGTGTTTCAAAACCTATTTATTCCCAAAAACAGCTGATGCTTCCTGACCCTGATATGTTGTTATTCTCAAACAATATTAATCCTTTTCAATTTAAAAAGCTCAAATGTTTAACCAGGCTTGTTATGTTCTTATGTGTAACTGTGAGGCACTTTGTTACCCTGTCTTGTGAATAGAGTGAATAAATAAAGCATTATTTACAACAAGAGAAAATATGTATAATGGTTAGTGTTCATTTTCGGACTCATAATGTGGCTTGCCTTCAAAACAATTGTTACGTTTGGTCCAAGTGTTTAGCCTGTAATGCAGTTTAAGATTAAACATGATAAACAATGGGTAGCTATTGTTCTCAGCAGCAACACTACAAGCTATTGATAGAGAACCAGAGCTGGCTGGAGAGGCATATTTTTACGAATTGTGTGGTCGGCATGATGAGGATTTTCCTGTGATTAGAAGACACTGTTTATCACACACCTGATTTATAAAAACTCATCAAAAAGTAGGGTTTTGCTTTCAATACCACCCGTGTTGCTTTCAATACCACCCGTGTTGCTTTCAATACCACCCGTGTTGCTTTCAATACCACCCGTGTGATGCTGATATTAAACACTCTTGACTGTTATAGATTACCGTGAAGACAGCTCTGGCTCCCTCTCATTTATCCTGCTGAGGCAAGTGTCTACATGACTGATTAATGGGATTGAGTTAGACGTTTGCTACATGACTGCATAGAGGCAATTAATGTGTTGTTTAACTTTGGGATTTTCCAGTTAAAGTGAAGGGATCTTCTATTGCACCAGTATGTTACCTTCTGCAGAGTGGAGGGGACCATCAGAACCATGCAAGGCAAATAACAGTCACATAAAATGACACGTGTGAGTGAAAGAGGAAGAAGGACATGAAAGACAGAACACAGGTACAGGCAGAGAAAACGTAAATGAACTGGAGAGAAGCAAAAACAGAAAGATGTGGAATCACAACACAGCTTTTCATACTAATAAACAATAAAGTAATAATCTATTTGGGTTCTCAATCTGAAAAGTGCAGTAGACTTCTAACAGCTTTATCTGTTTGAGTTAAGCGACTTTATAATTTGCAAGGTAAGTGATTAAACAATGCTAAAGGACCACATTTAAAACATTTCCAAATGACACTAAAATGATGAAGCCAGAGCGGATATTTGCAGCTTTTGAAGCAGAAAGATTTGGTGTTAATTCATTATAATGTTATTAAAGCCAATTCATTCACAAGCCACAAATCAAAGTGATAGTAAAAGTCATCATTTGATAACTTGGCTGTCAACTCAAACAATGTGGGTGAGATCAAATCTACGGATGACAGACACAGAGGAGTTTGCTTTTCTAATCGGGTAATACAAGGTCACAGTTTCTAAAAAACAATATTTGCTATGCTCTAAAGTTATTATAAATGCAGCTAATGGGGGTATCCTGTGGGAAACGAAACAGCTACAGCAGTAAAAACGAATGTTTCTCTCTACAGAACAAACCTGTTTCCTCAGTGAAAAAATGAAAAATGCCGTCTAGGGACATAAAGAGAAGATATCAGGCAATCAGATTCAGTTGTCTGCATAAATGAATGCGTCAATCTCTGTAATAACACTTCACTGGAGAGCTTAGTCAAACGCATTTCTGCCAAACTGCAGCAGTCAAGCAAGAGGAAAGTAACCCTCTTATTTTAATGAACCCCACATTTAGTGTTAGAATGAGACAGATGCAGCACACAGGAACACATGAGGCTTCAAAGGTGAAAGGAAGTGAAAAAAAAAGTTATCCAAGGAAAATATTTAAGCAAATGAACCGCAGTTATTTTTATTTGTTTTTAATTTTACCCTTAACATAAATCAGTTTGTGTCCAATGTTATATACTGCTTTGAAAAAAATGGTGACAAAACATTAAGATTTGGTCTGCTGTCGTAGTCCTGAATAATCGATTAATTTAAGATAAACCATTAACATTTTAAATCAGTAAATAATAAAAAAAGACAATGACTTTTGCCATTGCCTGTCACTAAAAACCGATTGACGATGGTGTTAAAACAAATCTGAGTTGATGAATTCATCATAACAATATTTATCGTGCTGTGTTGATATGAGTGGGATTAAACTAATTACATAGTAGCTATTTATTTGATTTACTCGTTTGATACTGATAAACAGCATTTTGAACCACCTAATATATAAATGCACTTTAATACAGGGGTATCTCCTCTTGCACTTGATGCAGCTCTGTATCTTCTCCTGCACTTTATATGTCGTAGCTGCTACATTGTGCTGCCATGTGGTAAATGCTTGTATATGCTGCTCATGCTCTTTCTGCATATCATGTATTTATTTGTGCTATGTATATAAATGTCATGTTCTTAAATGTTGTATGTGAGGGACTACGGATGGAAATTAGCTCAAAGCTAAAATCCGGCATGTTTACGTTTTAAAGCATTATTTGTTTTAAATGTTCCTTGATGTGCACTGTCCCTCTTCAAATAAACGATTAAATGAAAAAAAAAATGAAATGGAAGGTGAGCAATTACTGATGCAGCACTTAATTTTGTAAGTGCTGCCTGATGCATACAACAGACAGATGAGCAAATGGATACAAATATAGACGATCAAATTAACATATGAGGAGATGATCAACACGCAGACAACACTGAATCATGTCTGACAATGAAAATGGGATCAATTATGAGTCAACAGGCACATTCGATGTGAAGCCAAGCGAGCGATGCAGCTTCTCTTCCAAAAACTCTCCTCCACAGCCAACAGAGGGCGCTCACAACTCAATAATGGCTTTCAGATTCACTTCCAGGCTGCCATTTGAAGAACTGAGGAATAATTCTCCGTTCAATTGTTCGCAAACACATAATGAGTGTACTAAAGTACTGTAAACGGCAGATGCTTTTTTCGTTCATTGTGAGACATGTGTGACCGGTGTGAAGAGATGGGGGCAATTTAATGTGTAAAATAGCCAGATTGTGTGAAACGATTTGGAGAAGGTGACAAAAATGTTTCCTGAATTCTTAGATTTCAACTTCCTATCATGGAAAAAAACTGAGTGAGGTAGTTCCTGCTGTCGGTTTGACTCCTTAACACACAAACTAACTTGGAAAAGGAAAAAGCTTGAGTGAAGACTGAAAACTCACCAATTTTTCGACTGAATCTTTGCAATAAAATGTAAGTCGCTTTGGAGAAAAGCTTCAGCTAAATGCAATGTAATGTAATGAGAAGACACTGCTGGAAACAGTCTCAATGCAGACGCTGTGTGTGGCTGTCCAGCAGCTGAGTGTTTATAGATCAGTGTTGGGATAGACAAGCAGTTTTTTTAATTTGTATTATTAGTCAATTTATCGAACATGTCAGAAACTTTTTTTTTATTTGTATTTTTTTATAATAATAATTATAACAAAGAGATGCAAAAAAAACTAAAAACGTTTAAGGTACAACAAAATTAAAATAAATACATTCTCAAATAGTCTCTGTCATGTTCAACAGGGGCAAGAAGAAGCTTAAAAAAACTTTTCTGGTCCTACCCCCTCTAGCGTAAATTGTTCTTGAAAATAAAAGATTAGGTCATCGTCATCAGCGTCATGTTCGTCATGTTGTAAACAAATACTTTTCTTTTACCAAACAACCAAAAAAGAAATAACTTTTACAATGACAAGAAATAACAAGTATGAGTTCACAGGTCCCGCTCATAACCATTCATGATTTGGTTTCTAAATAATAGTTTTAGTTTAGATAGACTTGTACAATATTTCAGCTCATCAATACTGTTACGGACCGTCCACACAGCAGCGTTAAAAAAATCTTGGAGGTGGGCGTATCTGAAGCTTGGGGATTTTTTGCGAGCAAGGCACCAACAACCAATCACATGAATCTCCCGCCCCCGACATACGAAGCAAAAAAGTTTGAAGTAAACTGGATATAAACTCCCCAAACAGGCGAAAACATACCACTGTCTCTGCCACCTCCCTCCATGCCTGCTCCTCCGGTTTATATCCCGGTAGGTAAATAGGGACTGGTCATAAAGCACCGGGTGATTCGCTACCGCTAATTTCTCCTCCATTTTTTGGAATATGAGGAAATGACCTGCGGTATGTCTCTCCCAGCATACACGCCATTTGATTGGCTAGCGCTTGAACTGTCAGATTTGCATACACGGGATTTGATTGGCTGACGCTTCCACCTCAGCTTCAAAAGTTGAACATTGCTCAACTTTGAATCCTGAAAATCCTGAAAATCTCCGCTCGCCTGCCCACAATGCAGTTCGGCGAAAAGTGAGGCAAAGTGACGTCACCCCATTCAAAGTGAATGGGCAGAAGCGTTTCAAGATTTTTTAACGCTGCTGTGTGGACGGTCCGTTATTCCACAGGTCAACACCTTTTGTTGTGATGCACTGAAGTTTTGAATTTGTTCGTATGGAAGGTTTTTTATTTAAATGCAGTTTCCTCTCCATAGAAGAGAGGACTTGTGGTGTTGTGTTTGTGAGGACGAGGGTGTGATTAAGGCTCCACAGTGTGCTGTAAACTGAGAAACTTACGGACAGGCTCCGTCTTGAAGAACTTGGAGAGGCTGCTCTCCCCCTCCCCCTTTCCGTTGATGGCGTACAGCCTCACCTCGTAGCTGGTCTCTGGCTTCAGACCTGTGACAGTGGCCTCAGCGCTGACGCCTGTAACAATGTTCAGAGGCAGAGCAATCCCTGTTGAGAACACCTTGATCCCAAGCGGTGAAACAAACTCACTCCCAGTTCAAACAGTACGTGTATAAACAATAATTAATTCCATCACGGGTAAACACTGATTAGCTCGATTCTCGTTTTATTCCAACAATGTTTAAACAGATAAGTCTATTTAGAGATGGTCTAAAAGGTCTAAACCAGGTATACACAGAAACAGAAATAACTGACAGCTGTTTCAAAGTCATAATCATGAATACATTACTTTTGGGAACTGGATTACTTTATATTAATGATAAATAAATGGCTATTTTCTAATATTGCAAATGTTTATTTATGTAATAATTGTCTAATTTGACGTTAATGTATTATTTAGTTTTCCACTATATAATGAAAGTTAATAAAATGTCATTTAATTCAGGGTATTTGCACACTTCTAGATATTTATAAGACAATAACAAAGGAAGTGTGGCGCCATTTCTACTGCCAGACAAATGCATGTTATTGAAATAGATACATTCTTAATTAAATCTAATCTTTACGATATTACCATGAATCTACACTTTATATTTAGGATGCAATGAGTTTCAGTGTAATGCATGAAAATCACATTTCACACAATTTTTTTTTGTTTGGTTTTGTGTTCTTACCATCATCGACTGCATAGGCGCGGTGCGACCAGGTGCCTCGGCCCTGAATCCTCCACTCCGCCCTGTACTTCAGGACAGAAACCCCCCCGGTGGACTCGGGCTCCCCAAACTCGATCTGTGCCGAGGTGGAGAAGGCCCTCACCTTGCTGAGGAATGGAGCTGATGGCACCTCTGGTAAAGCAAAGCAAATGCAGTGTGTTTATAACAACTGTAAAGTTTTAGCACCCCAATGCTGCCAAACTCCATTGTTCTGTTATAATAACAGACTGAACTCACAGGTCATAACAGTCAGAACCCCATCGGGAAAAACAGTTTCGGCTTTGTGAGAAACGCCTGATTTGTGACCGTGCTGCTGTTTCTCAAGCACTGAACGCTGCAGACGCTTGACTACTTCAGAAAATAAAAACAGTAGGAAAACAATCAAATGCTTCTGTGATGAACAGATTCAAGATAAATCGGAAAATAGTTAGCGGCTTGTTGGAGCTTTAAAAAAAAAAAGAAAAACTTTAGGGGTGTTGCTTATTATGCATCTTTGAGCTGGAAAAGACATGAGAAGCATTCAGACACCTTTGCACAAAGCAATGTTTCAAATATACAATGTAAACATCCATAATCTATAACAGCTGTTATTCGTGGAGATGTTTTTCTATGCCATCATAAATGTTGCATTTGTAGAGAAAATGTCTGAACTGTAGTATACACAATTCATTGATTAATTCCTCATCCTCTTCTCATTATACATGCTCCCCTTGGGCACCATAATAAACCACTACAATGTTGAATATCACTGTTACGCTGTTGAGCCACAATTGTATATTTCCATTTCACCTGAAAACCAATAACTTTTGAACCTGTCTCAATGAGGTAAACAATTGGATGAATGATAACCTTTTTTAAAGAAACTAGCAAAAAACTGAAATTCTACAAGTAGGTCCAAAATCAGAACGGCAGAGAGTAGAGTCAGTTCTTTCCAGCATGTCCAAGTATTAAAACTAGGGCTGTCAAGTTAACGCGTTAATAACGCGTTAACGCAAAAAAAAATTAACGCCACTAATTATTTTAACGCGATTAACGCATGTGTATTTTTTGTCCTCGGCCGCCGTAGTTTCAGAGCGCATCGAGTGTAAAATACCATCGACAAGCTGATGCTGACAGCCTCGCTCCTGCCGCCCGCTTGTGGCAGACCACACTTCCACGCTCACCGGCAGGCCCGGACTGGCCATCGGGAGGACCGGGAGGGAGTGTGTATGTGTGGCGCGACTCGCGCGAGCGAGGCACACCTTACGTGTTGTTGTTGTTAGCATCTGGTGCTAGCTAGCTGCGCTAACGGATTTAAGGAGCTGTTTCAATGACATTTCGCCGACAACTGCGCCGAGCACTTGACTTTATGCAGGTAGCCAGACAGTGGGACATTGTACGAAAAGTCAGCACACTCAGCACGGATCGTACGCGCAACATGATTGCAGCGTCCAGGCAGCTCCCATTCGAGCATATATGCCTTGAGCTGCACATAGCTCCAACGATTCATCACAGTGTCTCCACACACACACACACACACACACACACACACACACACACACACACACACACACACACACACACACACACACACACACACACACACACACACACACACACACACACACACACACACACACACACACACACACACACACACACACACACACACACACAGTATTATTGTATGAAAGAGGTTCCAGGTTGAATTGAGGCGAATATTTGTAATGTTCAGAGGTTGTTGTGTTTAATATTCATGAGAATATTTGTCATTGTTCAAATGATAATAAACAAACATATAAAGCATATTTGTCCACTCATATGTTGATAAGAGTATTAAAAACTTGAAAGATATCCCTCTAAGGTACATTTAGAACAGATAAAAAATGTGCGATTAATTTGCGATTAATCGCGATTAACTATGGACAATCATGCGATTAATCGCGATTAAATATTTTAATCGACTGACAGCCCTAATTAAAACACAAGTTACCAATCTGGTGGTAATTTTAGACTGTAATTTGAATTTTTTAAACCATTTTCTCTTTGTTTATAACTTGTTCCTCACTCTTTATTTTGTAACTGCTTACTCTGTAAAGCACTTTGGGCTGCATCTTGCATAACTAAAGTCTATGATTATTATTATTAGCATTCAAGTTATATGAAGAAAAAAAAGAAAATCACATCCACCCACCACGGTTCCCTCTATTTGATGGAAAATTACAATGTTTCAAAAACTGTGGCCGGCTGTGATAAATTCACACATTCTGGTGTGAGCACAGTTCTGTATTGAATGACTTTGATCTGCGAATTGAAAGCACTGTGATTACTGCGGTTGCTCGTGTTGGCTTGGAGGGAAGATTGTGGATTCATTTTCTTCAGATTGTGGCCTAAGAGTGCCGTTAACTCTCTGCCCCTCCGCTCCATTTGTCTAATGTGTTGGTGAATATACAGCTGCGGGTGAGTTGATGGTACAATCAAATGTTGTCCGTTTGATAAAGTGTATTTTAATTCTTAAATGCACACAAACTAAACTCCTCGATCTGCACAATAATATATTCCGTTTTCATTTCTTTCAATGCTAAATCAAATCCTCAGAGCCGCTGTAGTTTTCGAAACAACCAGAGGGAAGGAATGTTGAATTATCCAATGTTGGTTTTTCATCTAAATCTACCATCCATCCAAACAAACACAGCTCTGTGTGATCTCACGTTACGGTAGATGTTTTGGTCTAATGTGTTTTGAATATGGGTGAAATCTCTTTGTTAAGCGTGAAGCCAGAAAAGCTTTGTAATTAAATTCATGCGCTACTATGAAATGGGATTCTTTGTGTTTTGTTACTACTGAAAAACATTGTCCTATGTATTTATAGAAAGTTCACGCCTGACATATCATCAATAATTCCTTCAAACAGCACAAATAAATTCAAAACAAAGCTCAGAGAGTCACTGACCGGCCTGGATGAGCAGGAACTCTTTGGACTCGGTGCCCATCTCATTTGAGGCGCTGCAGTTGTAGCTCCCAAAGTCATTCTCTGACTCAGGGGTTATCTGGAGAAGAAAAAACAAAGCAACAAAATGAAGGGCAACATAGCAAAACAGATAAACAAAGTTGAGTGTCAAACACTCTCAAGGTGACCTTTTTATTTGTCCATTACAGTAGCCTATTTGTATTTGTTGCTATGAGCTCTCCTGCAGCTGAATTATTCATTAGATTTCTTTTTTTCACAATGGAGCTGAAAGAAAACCCCCCTCACTCGGAGTCTCATGAAATGTTGATGACACAAGGGGTATGTGTGTGTGTGCATGGGAGGAGTGTGTATACATTTACTTTATGAAGTGTAAATAGTAGTTTGACACGTGTGTGTGTGTGTGTGTGTGTGTGTGTGTGTGTGTGTGTGTGTGTGTGTGTGTGTGTGTGTGTGTGTACCTGCAGGTAGCTGGCTGATGGACTCCTGAAGATCTTAATGTTGGTGGTGTTTGCGTTGGGGAGCTGCAGTCCGTCTCTCAGCCAGGCGATAGACACATCACTGGGATGAGCCTTGACCTCACAGCTGATATTCACAGCATTCCCCTCCCAGGTGTACACTGCCACGGCACCGTGGATCTTAGGGGCATCTAGTGGAAGAAATGCATGTAATACAAACATCCTGCCAAACTGTTCTGAGTTCTGTGGTTTAACAGTGTCTAAAATAAATGAGTTTTAAAGGCCTCGACACGCCAAGCCGATTAATTTTGAGGTGAACGTTTGTTGAATGTTTTTACATGTCCTACAAACATAGGCACTTATTAGCCTGGAGTGGTGAGGAAGAATTCTTTGTTTTAATGTATGTATATAATAATAATAATAATAATAATAATAATAATAATAATAATAATACATTTCATTTATATAGCACACTTTAAAAACAACGTCATCCAAGGTGCTTCACAATGCTATATGGAGAAAAATAAATAAAAATGTATCTAAGGAGCATATTGAATATAATATGGTAAGATAAAAAAGGTTAAGAGCATAAAAGGTTAGAATACAAAATAAATAAAATAAAGAACAGTCAGTAAAATGTGCAGAACAGGTGGGTCTTGAGGCTTTTCTTGAAAACTGAGAGTGATGCAGAGCTCCGTATGGGAGGTGTGTGGCGTAGTGGAATAGTGCGTTGGTGTCCGGATCTGGGGAGCACAGGTTCAAACCCCACTGCAGTCAGCATGTCGTTGTGTCCCTGGGCAAGACACTTCACCCCAAATTGCTCCTGTGGGGATTGCCCACAGTATTGAGTATGTAAGTCCCTTTGGATAAAAGCGTCTAACAAGTAACATGTAATGTAATGTATGTTCTCTGGAAGCTGATCATATGTTTTCCAGTTTTCCTTTTTGTATGATGAATATAGATACTGCTGCCTGCTGTCAGAGAGTTATTTCCTCTCTTGATGAGCAGATGTTGACCTTTGGTTGTAATCTTAGCAATGTGTTCGAGTGCGGCTGTTCGGGCAAGGCGTAGTCAACGTGAGGCGACACAAGAATCGGCTAGTTTTTTTAATGTGAGTTTGGTGTGTCAGAACCTTAAATAAAAGTACATTCAAGAGCTCAGGAAATGTTTGTTTTGTACAGTTTGAACGCGTGAATCACTGGAAAGTCACTCTAGTACATTGCACTCATTCTGGAGGCTGAAACACTTCTAAGTCTTGTTGACTTGTGAAGCCCTCTGAGACAAATAGGATTTGTGATTTTGGGCTATATAAATAAACTTGAATTGAAAACTTGAATTAATGAGAGAGAAGGAAATACTTACAGCGGACCTCCAGATATGCAGGCTGATCATCCTCTCCAATGGCACTGCGCGCCGAGCAGAGGTACTGACCCGCATCTGTATACTTGACATACTTCAGAGTGAGGGAGGACACACGAGCATCACTCCTCACCACTACATTCCCATCCACACTCTAAATGGGAACAGAAAATAGCTTGGTTTAGGGGAAAAAAACATGCCATTAGCATCAGTTATTTTCCATTTCCATTTCGCATATCTACAAAGCACATTTCTGCAAAAAGATGTGACCTGAAAAAAAAAAAAAAGCTTAAAGAAAGCCTGCCTTTAATGAGCAGAAGAGACATTACGTTAATGAAAAAGGCACAGTCTGCTCGGTAAAGACGTAGAAACATAAGGACACAGTTGACAGAACAGGGGAGCTTATCAATAATAGATGACAGAAGGCACTAGAAACCATCCCAAGCTTTTCACACAGAGGGCTTACCAACTTGTTTAATATGCTGATGCATGGCGCTAGATAGCACAGCATTTCCTTTACATACCACACAAGCACTTTGATGTGAAAGACATGCTGGGCTTGGTGAAACTGCACACAATCACATTTCTTTGAGAAGAACATTTTCAGTTCATGAGCTGTGGTGTTTTTTGCATTGCTTTTTAAACTATACCAAGCATATTCCCCATTGTTAGTAAACTGCACAAGTCACAAACCAGGGGCATAGTAACCGATCAGCTGGCTAATGAGACGTGTACATGTCCTTCCTCCTCTACAGATACCTGGTTTCATTAACTTGATATGCAGGGTTACAACATCCGACCATAAGTGGCTTCATGACCTTTAGGGTCAACAACTCTTGTTACGGTTGCTGTTGTCATGTGACCCTAAACTGTGGGTGTACGCTTTCAGAGGGACAATATGTACTCTTTTGAAGAAGGACCAACAGGATTTTACTCATAACATTACTTACTGAAATGAACGATGTCTCTTTCAAAACCTTAATTATCTTCAAATGAACAGTTAATTAATGTTTGAATTGAGCAGAGCAAATGTTCAAACTCACAAAGACTCAACTTTATTTCATGGATTTGGGAGATGCAACTGTTTTTATATAGGACTCTTTTATACAGTAAGCTTTAATGTTTTTGTAAATTGTTCATTTTAAAGGGTGCTACAGAACTACATTTGTAAGCCTCTCTGTTGGCCACTTTCATGGCTTTAATCCAAGCTGCAGGCTAAACAATGGCACGGATGCTTTTACACATATTGAATTAGGGCCCAGTCTGGGGAGGCATGTAAGAGAAACCTTCGTTAGTTTGTATTCAAATTCAATAGACAAAGCATGTCTGAGGCATTCATTATGCATAGCGGGTAGCAGTACCAGGGAGAGACTTACATAACACACTAGCCTTTTATTCTAACCCCTGTGCAGGAGGCATTCTCCGGTGACCCTAAGGCACCGCCTCTGACTCCTGCATCTGTGCAACATGCCACTCCATGTAACCTCACAACGTCCTAGTTACTATATGCTCCAATACTGAGTCCTTTTTAATTGTGTTCTCCAACTTTTGGAAAAAGCAGCATCAACATGTCATCCCAGCCAAAACAACATATGGTTACTTTCCCTCCAGCCTTCATTCCGCATATGAAGTATGAAGCCCATGACAAATATAATCATGGGGAGGAAAATGGTGTCTTTACTGCAATTTAATGTTGCGATTCATTAATGTTTTATAGCAGTATATTTTTGGTATGAATGCACAACGTGCCAGAGTGGTTGTCTATAGGAAACATCCTTATTAAACAACCATTAAATATACTTTTGTGCCTCTAAGAGAGAGGTACAATACAACTTTACATGTCTTTGCGAGAACCTGCAATAAAACAGATGGAGGAAGGAAAATAAAGACTTTCCGACAAAAGCGGCTCCAATAAATCAGAGCAAACTGACAGCAGAGCGCTCTCTAACAGCTTCTGCAGCTCCACTAGCAGAGGAAAGAAACACTGCTGGAACATCCGAGCAGAACATTGAGGATACACTGCGGACATGTTAAACTCATGTCTCACCAAAGCCGAACGGGTCCTGCATACAAAAACACCTGCACCTGAATGTACTCTCCTTTCCATGCCCTGTCCAATGACCACTCCGCTGGCTACGCACTTACAAACATGCTCAGCAGGCTCATACTCCCCCTGCTCACAATCCTCCCCTGTGGCTAATCATGGGGAATCTGGCAGAGATACACACTGTTCAATTCAGAGTGCAGGTGGAATTAAACTCGCATCATTTTGTCAGAAAATGGAAATGATTATTGCCTGATCCATTAAAGTAAACCAATGCACTCATGAAACCACGGTGCTGCCAATATGCAGCAGAGATATCATTTGTGAGAAAACAGTTCACATTTTATGGTTCATAAAATAAATTAGCACGCAATAATTCTGTTTTTAAGCTGTGTTCGTTCTTGCTTTAGGGGAAAGTGTCACTTCCTTTGCATTATCTTTCTCCTATGTGGGAAACTCGGAAGCTAATTTTTCTACAGCTCAGTAATTATATGCATATTCAAAATAATGCATTTCACTGGCCTTTCTTTCTGGGTTAAAGTGTTACTACCATGACAGCACATTACTACTGATGCATACAAATGTTGGTGCAACCATGTGTAAATCCCAGTTTTACACAAACATAGACATTACTGTCAGCTTGTGCTTGATGAAAACGGTTCTTCCTAACCTCCCACAGTAAGCAGGGATTCACAATATGGATTTCTTTCATCTGTTTAGAAAACCAATAATTACCTGCTTCTTATGGCCAGTATCAATTTTCAAGTCTTTTGCACATGTGAATATAAGAGAGTTTAAGATGTAACAAGCTGAAATGGAAAATGTAATATTCTATAGATCTGCAAATAGACAGTACAATTATTAACAAACACAACGACCAGATCTGACTCTTCTCAATGTTGCTTTCTAGTACATACAAAGAGATATTGGATATGGTAATTGTGTTGTCTTTCTCTGAAACTAGGAAAAACGTTGTAACTGACGGCACTCTAGTCAGCGTGCTTTAATTCTTCTTCTCTGTGTTAATTGGTGAAGATTAAACATACTTTAAAAGATGTATAGCGCCACCTATTGTATCGGAGTATGTAGATGCTGCACTTTTTAAGCAAATGAGAGTGATTTGGCTTTTTGTTATCGACCCCTACTTATACAGTATACAAAGTGTGATAGCGTTTTTCTTTTGGACCTTGTAATAATAGGGGTTCTTATTGAGGAGATGTCAATATTGACTTTGACATTGATTATGGTGATTGCTGGAAACAGGGAGAGTAAAAATTACCCTCTTTCAAAACTACAGAGGCTTTAAAGGAAAAGACGGGTTCACTTGATGTGCAGAGCTCCCTGCAATTTGAAAATAGCTTTTCTATTTAAAGAACCAAATGGTCTAAAAATATGTATTCATTTCTTGTCAAATGGTATGAAATTATAAATAACAATGGCAAGCCTAACATTTGATCTTGCACCTGAAACAGTGATGAGCTGATCATCGAAGAAACACTTCGTGAGAGCACACATTTGCCTTCAAGAGGGATCTGTACTGTCCTCAAGTGCGGTACACTAAAATTAGAAATGACAAAGTGGTGTTTTGCACCAATTTTCTCACATGTAGAAGCAATGCATATATTTAATCGTGAAGTAGGCAAGTACACTGCGCTTTCTCTTGCCAATGTTCACTTTCTTTCAGGAACAGTCCCTGGCTCTGATACACTGAGCTGAAAAGACATCTTTCATTTTCAATTGCATAGATAGTCATTCATCTTTGGTCGTATAAATTACAGCTGTAAAGATATAATTAAGAATTTGCATCAGATCAAGTGAGATCTGGAGATGTGTGTGGGAGGACAGACGGATTTGAGAAGTTTAAAATCAACCAAATCTGTCTAAAACAAAGCAGAAAACAGGTTGAAAAACGGCATGTAAAAGAATGACGCATCACATCTATAAGATATCAAGAAGATGAATCATACGTCATATTTAAGCATGCAAACGTTTGCATTGAAACAGGCTGAAGAATGGAAACCCAAATAAGTCAAATGAAAAGATAGTGACAGACAGGCATCTGCATCTTTCTCAGGGTTCATACTCTCCCTGACCCTGATTTGATCAAGAATTTGGATCTGCATCCATCCAGAATTCAATTATATTCCTCTGACATGAAAGATGGATGGGTGTAGGAAAAAGTCATGCATTTAGAATACCTTGTGCTGCTCGGGCCGAGTCCATGATGCCTGCAGAAGACAGAGACACAACGACAAACAAAAGGCAAAGCAATTCTTAGAAGGTGACTCTTATCCAGGAAAAGCTGGGATGCTGCACATTGCATGCAAGTAATGAGTGTCCAGTTTATTTGTCGGTACATTAACTGTCCCTGAGCTGAAAGTCTGAAGATACAATAAAAGGTATTACCTACTGGAGAAGCCTGCTATGTCACAACAGGAGTTTATTCTTTAAAAAGGGGGATTTGGGGGGATTTCTACAGTGTTTTATATTTCTGTACTGCACGGTGAAACTAGACATTTTCCAACCCCCATGGAGTACGTGTATTGGCATCACGATAACGGAAATGCTCACAGATAAGAAGGTTATTGGTTTATCAGGAAAAGGGGAATCCATTACGCTGCACAACAGAGATATGTCAGCCCTTTTGTTCGAGGTAGTACAGCAATTATCAGCTCACAATCCATTTTAGAGGCTCGAAGGAATAATGAGGATATCAAATCCAATAAAACATATTTTTCCCTATCACTGTTGTGTGCATAAAAAGCCTTTCCTACGCTGAGCTGAACAAGAGATAGTAGTCATCAAGGCTTGCTGTGTTTCTCATGAGCAATGAGTGGAGTAGAAGAAGCAATTTTGTTTCAGCTCTTTCTGCACCCCGTGTGACACCTGGAAATAAATCTCTGCCGACAGGTGGCCAGCCTCAAATGTCCCGCTCTGAATGTTAACAGTTGTACTACTGTCTGAAATAAAGTGCTTTTTTGTGTTCCTTGATTGTATTTCAAGGCTAAAATAGATAAAAACTTGATTTGAATAACTCAAGTTTCATTGTTTCAAAAACGATCTGATAGCACGTCTGCCTGTCAGTGGATATTTATTGATGTTAACACTTT